GAGAGAGAGAGAGAGAGAGAGAGAGGTGTTTGAAGCCAAGAACCCCCCTCGGTCCCCTCACTCCCTCCCCCCAAATCTCTAGGGTTTTCCTCGTTCCACCTCTCGATCGCTTCACTTTCGGGCACCAATCGATATCGACAGGGGTCTTTAGCCCCAGACCATCGCTCGCCAGTCCATGGAGCACGCCGCCGTGGTCTCCGAGACGTCCGTCCGCCGATCGGTCGTTCTTCCCCCATTCCTTCTCTTATTGTGTTATTTGGTCGATTTCCTAACCCTAATGCGCGTTTTGTACATCTGGGTGTCTGCTTGGTGCAGAAGAGGGGCAGGCCACCGTTGGCCGCGTCTGACGTCGGGCCTAGCAAATCGAGCGGCTCTGCCGGGGAGAAGGCCGACCACAGTCCCACCGACGGGGACCAGGGGTCTGGGGATGGATCGTACGACGGCCTCGACGATCCCGCTCCGAAGGCCAAGAGGAAGCGCGGAGCGGCAATTCGGGCTGCTGGGTGGAAGGAAGATCAGAGCTTGATCGGTTTGTACGCTTGATTCTAGTTGAATTGGTTAACGGTTCTTTACAAGTGTTTTTGGGTTCTCGCACCGTTTCTCTTATTCTCTCAAATGTTATGGTGTGCTTAGGGTTTGCAACAGCTGTTCATTGAATAAATTAGTTGAATTGTTGAAGCTATAGAAAGTCGACTCTATTTTATGCATTCACTCCAGGTGCCTGTATATGATCATTTTCTTTCTACTACTTCTGCATGATCCTTGAGATCTTTCTTCGGTAGGTGCAATTTTTTTTGTAGTATTTCGTAGAAGCATTATGTGGCTTTGACCTGTGCTTAGGTATCAAAATAATGACAAATATGAATTTCTGCTTCGTTTTACAACATTCAATTTTCTGTCATTCGTTCTCGCAACACAGTAAAAGTTAAATCAAACTTTAGCTAATACTACTTGAAGTTAATTAATGTGTCTCATAAACAGATATCATCAAGCATAATGGGAGAGTAATTAACCATGCTGTCAAAAAGTGGGTTGAGCGCTATGAAGGGGATCCAAAATCTGCAATGGTTGAGATTCTAATGTTTCTCTTTGAGGTAGTATCTCTTCAGTTACTGCCTATTCATACTGCTATAATCAGATTCATGTAGTATTTGATGCAATTTGCTGCTGGTGAACAGGCTTGTGGAGCCAAGTATCAACTAGAAGCCGCGTCTTTTGATGAGACTGATGTGGATGATGTTGTGGTCTCACTTGTGGAGCTAGCTAAAAATGTATTATCAGAGATATATTCTTAAACATGATATTCTTTTATGCCAAACACTTCCAAGTTCTTTCTGTCTCGTGTAAATGAGTTCATTTTTCATTTGATTTAAAAATTAACTTATCAATAATGCAGGGCGAAGTGGAAGACCATGTTAACTCAAAGCAAAAGGAGCTTAAAAGCTTCAAAGAAAATCTCGCATCATTCTGGGACAACTTGGTTCTTGAGTGCCAAAATGGACCGTTGTTTGATAAGGTTTTGTTTGAGAAATGCATGGACTTTGTAATTGCCCTATCATGGTAAGCTTTTCTTGCTATCCCTCTCTGTTGCCTTAGCATATTTTTACCTTGTAAGGAAGTTATTCTTTGGAAGAAACTGAAATTTTGGGTTGTCTTGATTCTTCTATTCTGCACTACAGCACTCCTCCTAGGGTTTATCGGCAAGTGGCTTCATTGGTTGGTCTCCAACTGGTTACGTCCTTCATAAATATTGCCAAAATACTTTCTGGACAACGTGAAACCACTCAGAGACAGTTAAACGCTGAAAAGAAAAAACAAAATGAGGGGCCTCGTCTGGAATCTCTTAACAAAAGGTTATCTCTGACACATGAAAAGATAACTGCCACAGAAGAGATGATGCGTAAAATATTTACAGGGTGAGATTCAACTTGGTGGTTTTTTTCAGTGTCACTGTTATGAACAATTTGTTTATTCTTTTGCATCTTTTTTTTTGTAGGTTATTTATGCACAGGTACCGAGATGTTGACCCAGAGATTCGGATGTCTTGCATCAGATCTCTGGGTATTTGGATTTTATCATATCCATCACTTTTCTTGCAAGACTTGTACTTGAAATATCTTGGTTGGACACTGAATGACAAGGTAAGTTTTGTGTGTATATCCATAGAATATTGCTTCCTTTGGCTTTAAGTCAATATTTTTTTTGCAAAAGTTTTAACTATATTATATATTTCAATGCCTTGTGAAGAGTGCTGGTGTCAGAAAAGCTTCTATACTTGCATTACAAAATCTATATGAGGTGGATGATAATGTGCCATCACTTGGCCTTTTTACTGAGAGATTTTGCAACCGAATGATTGAGCTTGCTGATGACATTGATATTTCAGTGGCTGTGTCAGCTATAGGACTTCTGAAACAACTACTTAGGTAATTTTATGTTCTTTGTACATCTAAACCAACTTTTGTGGTTTATCTGGTGGCTGGTAAGTTCTACTAAGAAGAATTTTTTATTCTTGGTTTGCAGACATCAGCTTCTAACAGATGATGAACTAGGTCCTTTGTATGATTTGCTTATTGATGAACCACCCTTGATCAGGCGTGCAATTGGAGAATTAGTATATGATCATTTGATTGCACAGAAAATTAAAAATTCACATTCAGGACGGAAGGGTATCCTCCTGAAACTTATTATGCACTGTGGTATAGTATATGTAAACAACCAAACTTATTGGTCTAATAATATGTCTAGATGGAGAGAATGAGTCCTCTGAGGTTCACCTGGGACGCATGTTGCAAATTCTTCGTGAATTTCCTGATGATCCGATCCTTAGTGCCTATGTGATTGATGATGTTTGGGATGACATGAAGGCCATGAAGGTTTCTTTTTACCTGATAGCATAGATTGTTACTTTAATAATCAAGGGACATTTACTTATTAAAACCCGTAAGTTTTAACACCTCACTGCAAATATATGGTGCTCTTTGTTCACAGGATTGGAAGTGTATTATCTCCATGCTCCTTGACGAGAATCCATTGATTGAACTCACTGATGTGGATGCAACTAACCTGGTTCGGCTTCTCTATGCTTCCGCTAGGAAGGCTGTTGGAGAAAAGATAGTCCCTGCCACTGATAACCGAAAGCAGTATTATACAAAAGCTCAAAAGGTATGGTTGAAAGTTTCTCTCCTGAAATCCTTGAAATTCGTTTGCAACCTGTGACAATGTTTAGTTAACTGTTAATAATTTTTCTACATGCACTTTTCGCATTTAATACGATGAACATCAGATAAGCTAGTCATTTGGACTTGAGTTTAATTATTGATTATTAAAATTTGTATAAGTTCACATCATGGTCTCTCAGCATGGGATACGTAGGAACTAGATTACTAGAAGGCTTCTGCTCTATGTTGTCAATCACTGCAAAAATATTTTCTTAGATAGGAATGATTAATCTAATGCAAACAGGACGTATCATGTAGCTCACTTTTGTTCTTTAAGCTGACATACTAATTTGTCATTCTTATGTGGGAGATTGCCAAGCTTGGTAAGAGAACCTGCTCTAAAGGCATGCAATTTTTTTATTGGAAGCGAGTGTGAAGATGCAATTGGTATTTCAGCAGTTTTACACTGCCATTTGTTATTTCTGGAATATTAACCGTGGTCATACTTATTGAAGGAAGCATTGGAAAACAGTAGACGAGAAATAACTGCAGCTATGATGAAGAGCTACCCGCAGTTGCTGCGCAAGTATATATCTGACAAAGCTAAGGTCTCACCTTTGGTTGAGATTTTGGGTCTTTTGAAACTTGAACTTTATTCCTTAAAAAGGCAGGAGCAGGTTGGACTTCTAGCTTTCTGAACTTGCAAGATCCTGATACTACTTTTTAGGAACTAATAGGACAATTTTGTTCATCTGTCCTGTCAGAATTTCAAGACAATTCTTGAACTTATAGTGGATGCATTTTTTAAGCATGGGGAGAAGGATACACTGAGATCTTGTATCAAGGTGCTAACGTTTTGTTCTACTGATAGTCAAGCTGATCTTCAAGATTATGTGCAAAATAAACTGAAGGATCTTGAGAGTGATATAATAATTAAGCTAAAAGCTGCTATGAAAGAAGTCGAGGTATGCATCATTTTTACATCTTTACGCCTTGCTTCTTTTAAGCTTAATGTCGAAAGTCCGACAATCAAACTCTTGTAGATGGGTGGTGATGAGTACTCACTTCTGGTCAATTTGAAGCGGCTCTATGAGCTTCAACTGACAAAATTTGTTTCTATCAATGGCTTATATGAAGATATGGCTAGCATCCTCAGGGATTTGAGTGACATTGACAATGAGGTATGTCAACTATCCTGTGAAATATTTTATATTTGATTTTGCTTTTATGATAAACTTTATGCTCTATCAGGTAAAGTGCTTTCTGCTTCTCAACATGTACCTGCATGTAGCTTGGTGCCTGCAGTCTATTGACAGTGACAGTCTGCTAGAAGCATCTACTACTGCATTATTGTCCAAGAGGGATATCCTGCTTGAACAACTAGAATCCTTTACTAGGACCCTGCCTGATGCCCCTCAGGAGGGAAGGAGTGGAATTGTGCTTTCTTGTAGAGTAAGTTATTAGCTAAAGTAATTGCAGATATGACAGGTTAACTTGACTATGTAGCAGTTCTTTATATTGCCATAAATATATTTCATTTTTCAAAATAGAATTTGTGCCTATTTTAGGTTCCATGGATTAAGCAATTACTGAACAGCTTTTCTTTTGATATAGGTCTGTATCATACTTGCAGAAACATGGTGCTTATTTAAAAAGTCAAAGTACTCTTCTACAAGGCTGCACAGTTTAGGATATTCCCCAAATTTACCTTCTATTCAGAATTTCTGGAAACTTTCTGAGCAACTGCTTAAAATTTCAGGTTTGCTGTAATTAGGTGGCAAAAATTGAATTTTTGATACAGAAGTTTGTAATAGAAGCAAATAATATCTAATGCTTTATTCTTTCATCCATTCCTGTAAGAAGAACAGTGCATTGGCTTTATTCTTTCATCCATTCCTGTAAGAAGAACAGTGCATTGAACTCCGGTTTGTAACTGGCAGATGAGACTGAAGATGAGGATGCAAATGAAGAATACATCGAGGAGACAAACAGGGATGCTGTTATGATTGCAGCAGCAAAGTTGGTGGCCACTCATACTGTTTCCAAGGTGACGCTACTGGCTGCTTACTCTGTAAATATGCGTACTTGTCAAAGTGAGCTAACTAGGATAACTTATAATATATCGGTGTGCTATTGGATATGAACTTAATGATTCCACTGCTTCAAATTTATGAACAGACTGACATGTCAGTGCTATAAGTGTGATGACGCACTTTTTAAACTTGAACATGTCCTTTGTTGCTGTGTTATAGCATATATTTATCATAAACTATTAACTGTTCATCATCCAGGTGCCTTGTTTTTTTTGAAGGGCTGTATGTGTAAATAGCTTCTTAAAACCTTGTTATTAGCTGTTAAGAAGAGCAATTAGATCAGCAAAGCATAGTTGATGATCAGGTTGGATGAAGTACAAAGAAGGCCTTAATTATATACAAAGTGTAGTTTAAAGTCTTGTCTAAAACTAGTCAACCCTCTTGAGCATCTATCATGGCCTTGTTATTTGAGTCAGTTTGAGTCAGATTTCGAATCAAAGTTCCATTTCTTTGAGTTTAATATGTTTACTGTTTTGGTTAATATTGTGTCTTATCTGAGTCACTGATTAAGTTTCAAGTTATATGAAATTATAAATCTATAATTTGTTATTAGTAGTTCATGTCTCTTTGTTTTGTGCTATAAATTTGTTCAAGGAGTTTGATTCCACTCTAGTAGATAAGGGAACCCAGCTGAGTGGTGTAGGAGAATGAACAGGCTCCTTTTTTCATTTTTGGAAGTCCTGGTAGAAACCAAACTCTGGCTGGGGCTATTAATTTAAAAGATAATCAATGCTGGAAAAAGGTTAATTAGTTTTAACATTTAAGGCCATGAATAAGAAATTATATATAATTTTACCTCAGATGTGTCTCCATTTGATCATTAGCTACCAACTCCTGGATTAGATGAGTTCTTCCCAAGTCAGTCGTCGTGACAAATAGCTGCTAATTGATTGCTTATCTCAAGAAAACTCAGCTGTGGGGTTTTAAGGTTTCACTAAACCAGCTGGGCAGGACCAACATATCCTAATTTGCTGAAATATGCATGTAAAAGAAGGAAAATAAAAGGAAAAACAGGCAGAATGAAGATGTCTCACTTGAAACAGGCAGTCTATTAGTTGTTATCCTCTTGGACTTTTACCTCTTTGTCCAAATTTGGAATGTCTGCTTATTTGTCATTGCTGGTTTGTAATCTGATTGGAACTAGTTTCTCATTCTTAAGCTTTCTTTAGGGTAGTGTGGGTTGGAGTCACTTATCCATGTAGATATGTTAGTCATAATAGCCATTGTATTTTTGTAGCATTCAATCATGATATTCAATGACCTGGTCAATATTTATTTATTTATTTTTACATTATTTGGGATGATGCCAAGAAGTATAGATCATTGCACCACCTGATATACCAGTAGCATACTGGTTACAGCAGGTGTCATAACTGGTGAGAACCAAATTTTTTAACCTTGGTTTTATGTTTTCCTTAACTTTTTACACTGTAAAGAAACCCTATAAGTGGTTACATTTTGACAATTAAAAAAATGCAAAGTATAATTTCTTTTAGCTGTGTATTGATAGCATCTGTTTCAGTTTTAAAATGGCATGTTCTGTCAGGTTATTTTTTATACAATAGAAAAATAATATCTTGAATTTATCAAGATGCAATTTAATTTCAAGTTCATATGGGGCTTTTAAGGAGCGATGTTTCTTTGTGATTGATTTCCCAATGTCTTGTAGTATATGGTTCAGAAGTTGTGTGACCAAGTTCAGTATCAAATGGCTGATCATTTTCACCCTATTAGTTTTTTAAAGTTTAGAGGGTGCAACTTGGCATCGCCATTCGCCAAAAGGTTGCTCCTTTCGGACCTAGGTGGCCGACTTGAGTTCTAGTCATGGAATAGTTTCTCTTTTGTTTAGGGCAATACTGCATACATTGGCCTTCCGCAGATGTTGCATTGGTGGGAGTTCTATGAACTGGACCGTTTGACTTGTTTAATTTTTTTGAAGCTTGGGGCCTTGGGCCTAGCTTTTTGTGTTTTCATTCATGTCTATTATGTTTAGTTATTTGATCGTTACAAGATTCTTCTTCAGAATGTATCAATTGTGATTCCCCATATAGTTTTTCAAAGTTGAAAACAACGATAGTATTCATATCATGTTGCCATGCAAGTTGATTCGTTAAATTTCTTGTATCATGTTTACTAATATCATATTATTCATTTTGAGGTGACATTAGAATTTCTCACAAAATGCTTTGGAAAAGCATTTGTGATTCACCCACTCATCGTTTCTGAAAAATACTCCATTGGGTCGCCAAGGCCTTATTATCAGTACTTTCTTCCTTCTTGTTGGTCTCCTTGCTTTCCACCTTCTTATCACCCTCTTAGAAAACGGGAGTGCCTTTGCAACTGTCCTCATCATTTATTGTGATCAAGTACGTGGCTGGATGAATGAAGGGGTGGGTGGTACTCTAGAGGAGACCATGAATGGGTGATCAATAAATTTGAAAAATGATATAGAGGCATAGGTTCGTGGTGGTTGATATCCTCATCATCGTCATTTCCATCATATGGTAAATCATGATCCTCATATTATTACACTTTTCTAGAGAAGAAGGGAAGGTGGAAATATTGCCTTTATTGCTGTTTCTTCTAGCCAATGAACCATACATAAAACAAAAACTTCTAATTGAAAATTGAAAAATTCAGTGATCCCATCAATTAAATATGAAGTTTGGATGCTTGATATTTTTTTTACCTATATTTTATGTGATTTTAAATGGCTGGTCGCTAACTACTGGACAATCTCTTTTATTTTCTTGATTTTACTTTTCCTTTTCCCCAATTGGGAAGATCTTTAATTGCATTCCCTGTTTCTCATTTTCTTGTGGCTTACCAAACTAAATTTTACTTTGCCAACTATGGCATGTTGTGGCTAACTAATGGTTGTCATAGTATGCTATTGAACTTTGATGATGTCAAATCTTTTCAATTGGTTGGTAACCTAGTTATGAGGTCAAATTTACTTTTATAAGGGCCACTTACACTATTATGATAATAAAATTAAATTTTAAGTTCATAATCTGATGTTTGATGATTTTGCAGGATTATCTTGCTCCTGAGATTTTTTCACATTTTGTGATGCATGGAACAAGCATTTCGGAGATAATCAAGCATTTGATCACAGCTTTAAGGAAAACTGCAAATGATGAGATACCTACTATATTTTTGGAGGCATTGAAAAGAGTAATGTGTTCTTTCTTCAGCTGGATCTTGACTATTATTAGTTTATGACAAGATATGCCTAGGGATCAAGGTTCATCATATCGCGGTGTATCGCTCGATATGAGCGGTATATACCGTTTCGATAGGGGACCGGTATGGACAGTATTTATTGGTTTGTTGGTACATCCCATCGTACCGTATGTTGGTACATTAATATATACCATACCAATGGTTGGTCGGTACACCAGTACGGACCGGTAAGGTGAACCATACTAAGAATGACATTTTATTTTGCTTAATTGCCCTAAGTTTAGTTGTAATGTCAAGTAGGTATGGTGCCATTATCAGCTTGATGCTTTATATGTTGTTAATATCTATTAATTTTCTTTGACATTGGTAAACTTGTTTTTTTAATTTACTGAACCCACATCTTTGAATGAAGAATTGTATTTTTATGACTCGAGGATTATGAGAGAGGGATTCTGGTATTGCATGCACAAGAAGATCAAGTGTAGTTCCTAACTATCTGGGGTTTTTACATGAATCTTATCTTGTCATTAAGCTTTTCTGAGGCCAATACTAGTCAAACTAACTCACCAAGAGCCTGAACAGCTGAACTAGCCTTGTATGTAACCAGGGGAGAATTGTATTTATATTAGGTTTGACATAGTTTGTACTAGTCATGTAGCTATAGTGTGTCGATGGGACCTCATGCCGTGTAAGCTGCTGATCTGGTGTTTGGGCCCTGAAAGTATGTCCTAACTAGGTGTGGTCCAGAACTAGGATTTTAAACTGGGCCATTCAGTTTCTTTGCTTGTCCAGCCCTTCTAGTAGTAATCTAAGGCTGATGCATGTGAGGTTTATTGGTGTTGATACGAGATCAAGTCTTTGGTCCAAATTACATGTCATATCAACACATTATGATTTCTGAAGTTTCTGCATTTGGGGCTGACAAAGATTTTCAGAATAATGTCATATCAACACACTTTGATATATCTGTTAACATATGCAATTAAATGAAAGATGTTTTGTTAGTATATATATAAGTAGTTGCATATTTCAAAATTTGTCAGATGAAGCAGTTATATCATGAATATATAATAACCAAGGTTATGCATTTATTACTCATCAATGGACAGTTTATTTTCTTTTCTAACTGCTTTTTCTATATACTTAGTTTCTGTTTTATTTCTTGTTCAAGTCTTATGTAAATTTTAGATAGCTTTTTGTTGTTTTTATAAACTTCGTATCCCCACTTTTTGTAGATGTTTATTCTTTTTTAATAATTTTTTTTGGCTGATGATCTTCCTCAACTGCTAATCTACATGGTTTTGTATGTGATTAGTCTTATAAGAGGCACACAGTGGATCTTTCCTCTGGTAGTAACGAGTCCTTAGCGAGTAAGTCCTATTCGGATTGCAAGGAGCTTGCATCTCGGCTCTCAGCAACATTCACTGGTGCAGCTCGAAATAAGCATAAATCAGAAATTTTAAATGTTGTTAAGGATGGCATTTCATATGCCTTTTTGGAAGCTCCCAAACACTTATCATTCCTAGAGGCTGCTGTTTTGCCATTTGTCTCGAAACTTCCCACATCTGATATTCTAGAAATGTAAGGCATGCTTTTTTAATTGATAACTTCAATGCTTTATAGTTTCAGTTTTTCATAGATTACCGTGAATTCTGTGGTCTAAATCCTGTTTTCAAACAGCCTGAAGGATGTCCAGAAGAGATCAGAGAATGTTAACATAGATGAAGATCCCAGTGGTTGGCGGCCATATTCCGTGTTTGTTGACCACTTGCAGGAGAAATATGCAAAGAATGAAGGTTTGCAAGGTATTCTCTTCAAATTTTCTTGCATAGTCAATGGATCCATGCTAGGGTAAATTTCACTTTCATATATGTTCCTGAAGTAATACGTCAGTGGATCCATGCTAGGTTCTTCTCTCTCTATTTTGAAAGGATCAATTGCCCAGGGCTTTGTAGATTATTCTTTACGGATGGATGTATAATTTGTGGGATTAGATGGTCTTTTTTAAGGTTCAGAGGGGTTATGTTTATGATATATGCAACTTATAAGAAGCATTGTTCAGAAAACACTTCAAATGCAAAAAAATAACACATGAAGATTTTCACAGCCATCAAAATATAGTTACACATTGCCCATGTTTGACATGTCTTAGTAACCATGTATAGGGCAATATAAGTGTCATAAATAATAGCAATTATCAGCAGAAATAAGTGTAGATGACATATTCGTGATATGTTTTGGACTGCTGGACATGTGTGTCAATGTTTGTGATGTGTTGATGTCTGACATGGACACAAGGAAAACAAATATTGTGGATTGCCATGTTTCATAGGTCATGGTCTGTTGCTGTGTAAACCCTGCTTTCGCAGTGCGAGGACAGCATTGCTTTTCTGTGCCTTCTATGTGGTTTCCTGCTTTAATGATGCTCCTGCTTGTATAGATCCCTTCAAGGAGAGAACATTTGTATATTATTTATTGGTTAAAAAGTAGAGGGAATAATAACTTTGAACTAGTCCTGTTTGGAACCTCAGTGCTTCCATGTTAGAAATGGTATTTTTCCTTAAAATATGTGATCTTCATCAATATAGATCTCTTAGAGTTACTGTACTTTGAATCATTTTATACATATTATTTGAAGGACAAGTCTGAAACTATTACTTGAATGCAGATGAGAAAGAAGGGAATGTTGTAAGACGACGAGGACGTCCAAGAAAGGCAAGAAATCTAGAAGGAAAGAAACTTTTTGATGGGCATGAATCTAGTGAAGAAGATTCCATTAGCGATTCGGACCAGAATGATCAGGAAGAGGATGACGATGAAGAAGCGGATCAGCCTCTAATACACACTTTTAGAGCATCGGCTTCCAAGTTGAGATCAATGAGAATTGCACGGCCAGAAAGCACAGAAACTGCAAAGAACAACAGGTATCTCTTAATAAATTGCGAGTTTGACAGGTGTCTGTTTCATATGCATATTCAACTTGATCTAGGACATTTAAAAACCTTAGCAAATGAAAAATCCATGAATGAGGCCTTGGCCTCGTAATTAGATCCCTTCTTTATCTTGAAGTGGTGATTGATATGGTCACATGTGGAGGTGGTGACTGATATTTGACCTGTGTCATTCTCCAAATGTGGAGGAGTGATAAGAGAGACAGGAAAGAAAGGAAGGGGAGAAAGATGGCAAAATCTGGCTGCCCTTCATTTTCTTCTATTTGCCAGTTTTGTGATCTCACTTGGCATGCAGCACCATTGTTAATGGCAGATCTGAATTATCGGTGGTAGTTGGGTATAATGGTAGTCATAAAGGTAAATTATCATTTATGTACTATCATCCTAGGAGAAGCCATCAAAAAATTTATGTTTTATCAATTTGAAACTTTGAGGGCCACAAGGTATCTGAGCTGGTTGTTTCTAAAGCAATAGTTCATTCATTTACAGTGTCGTTCATCTCAAGTTTCTTGGTTCTTTTGATTTTCAGGTAACAGCCGCTGATATTAGGTTGCTTTTCTTAAGAAAGTGATCGAGAAGCATCATCATGGACTCTACTTACATGAAAGCCCATATTATCGTTTTATCAAGAATTTATCTTTTATTGCTGTTGGTAGTCTAACCTTCTAGGCAGTTTGTATGTTATGTATATTGGCATCTGCACAAGTCAGCTTTACCTTCCTGTATGTAGTTTCTAAGAGCCCAAATCTGGTTTATCAGAACTTTTGTTGCTACCAAGATATGCTAGAGCATGGTGGAGGCAAGCTTGTAAAAGCTAGACACCAATCAGTTGTACTAATACTGAGAATTACTAATACTGGTCCACCGAGGTTTACTCCTAGAAAAATAAACAATTCGGTGGTACCTGTCCTGTCTGTGCATACAATCGAACCTGTGCATTGTAAATAGGATCCAAGACATTCTTGATTCTCCTCGGATAAAAGATTATTTTTTATTTGCCTGATTTTGCAGCATTTGCAATTATGTCCCCAATTTGTTTTGGTTTTTATCCATTTCTCAGGTATTATATTTGTGATTTAATGTTAATTCGTTTTAAGCATGATACAGGTCTTTATTACAATGGCTGATGGTTCCTTGTGACCATATCTCTATAGTTGTTGCGTGCCCGTCTGAATTTTTGGTTCTGATCTTTTTCTGTAGATTTCTGTTTTTTACTTGAAGGTAAAAGCTTTCAGCTGACTTAATGAATGCCCATATCCGTTGGATGAGTTTGCTAGTAGTTCAAGGTTGGTATTATTGTAGATAAATTTTTTGTTGGGTAATTGATACATGGAAATGGTTGTATTGCATTTTGTTTCCTGTAGTGGAGATTGATGCATCAGTCTTATCTACATAAATCCATCATTCACCGTTAACAACAACGGCGTTTTAATGACCCATGGCATATCATAGATGGTGGAAACAAGCTGATTCGCTTCCATCTCTGTGTATCTATAGTCCACAAGTCATCTTCATTGCCTCATCCTCGTGCATGGTTTCCTTCTTGTCTTGACGGACTCGATTCATGCATGAGTTGTTTCAGCACATCTTCTTCACGTAACACATGTTCCCGCCTTCTCCTACGCAAGACCGTTGCAACCTAACCTTCTCCCGCATCTGTGACTGCAGTTCCAATTCCTCCAATTACTCCTCTCATCACACCATCGCATCATTCTTCTTCTCCATACACAACTCCCATCGTGCTTAGGATAACTGTTTGTTCTATATATCCTTCCATGTTGCCTCATTTGCCTCTACTAAGATTTCATCGAGAGAGTGTCTCAGTTCATCAATGGCGCCTCAACCATCTGCGACTCGGTATGAGAAAGGAGCGGAGTCGCAGTCGGGGAACGGAGCTCAGCCGCCGGTGGTAGTCGACAAGACGCTGTCGAGCGCAGCGAACCTGGTGAAGCTCCTGCCCAGCGGCACCGTCCTGGCCTTCCAAGCACTCTCGCCGCCCTTCTCCAACCGGGGCATGTGCCACACCTCCAACAAGTATCTCACCGCGGCCCTGATACAGCTCTGCGCCGCCGCCTGCGCCGCTCTCTCCTTCACCGACAGCCTCAAGGGCGGCGACGGCAAGCTGTACTACGGGGTGGCGACGCTGCGGGGGATGTACGTGCTCAACTACGACGGGGAGGAGGGACAGCGGAGCGGGGTGCTGAAGGACCTGAGGAGATACCGGCTGCGGGTGCTGGACGGCGTGCACGCGCTGTTCGCGGTGGTGGTGTTCCTGACGCTGGCCTTCAGTGACAGCGACGTGCTCAACTGCTTCTTCCCGGAGGCAAGCCCAAACACGAGGCAGCTCCTCGTGAACCTGCCGCTGGGAGCTGCGTTCTTGTCGGGCGTGGTGTTCATGGTCTTCCCCACCACCCGCAAGGGGATCGGCTACGCGGACATGGCGCATCACCAGTGACTCCAAGGAAACAAAGCGGCCTGAGATGGCTCCTCATTGTTACTGTAGTACTACGATAGGGGATTTGAAAGGAAAGCTACTGTACACTGGTAACGTAAAATGGTAACATCACCTGAGAATAAGAGCCTAAAACGTGAACGTATTTTTACCCTTCGTTGAATTAGAGTCGTCTAATTAGTAACTTTAACATTTAATTGATCTATCAATTGACAACTGTAATCTAATAAAATACCAGAAACCATATAATAAAGTAATCTAATTATTATTACTCTCATTGAGTTCCGCGTGGCTAACCGCAGACTATTCCGCAACATGCACTACGCCGAGCCACCTGTCAAGCGCTTACAACGCGTGTTGACCGCGACCGACAATTGTGACTCGAGTCGGAATCAGATTCACATGTGGAGCCCACGATGCGAGAGGTTGGTTTCTCGCGACGGAAGGTTGTCCACGTCGCACCCTACACGCGTTCGAGTAACGCCACGACCAGGTCAGCCGCACTCACGCCGTCACCGCTTTCAACTTGACGGCCGCCTTCCTCCCGTCGTTCCAAACGCGCCTCCAGGGAGACCGCGCCGTCCCACCTAATCGCGCCGCGTGCCACGTCGCGCCATCGTTGCCCATTCCGCAAGTCCCACCGCTCCTTCCTCTCTCCTTCTCTCTCCGCCTCTGTATATAACGATCTCCCGCCGTGTATTCCGACCACTCATCCCTCCCTCTCGATCCAAGGAAGAAGGGATACACACTCTGCGATGGCTCCGAGGGCGAAGGCTTGCAACCCCGGTGGCGAGGGATGCGGCGGCGGAGACCGGAAGGGGATGCACTACCGGGGCGTCCGGAAGCGGCCATGGGGGCGGTACGCGGCGGAGATCCGGGACCCGGCCAAGAAGTGCCGCGTGTGGCTCGGCACCTTCGACACCGCCGAGGAGGCCGCCCGCGCCTACGACGCCGCCGCCTGCCGATTCCGTGGCCCCAAAGCCAAGACCAACTTTCCCTGTCCCGCCGAATCCCTCGCCTGCGCCACCGGATTAGCGGCCGGAACGGCGGCGCCAGCCAGCCCCAGCAACAGCACCATCGAGTCGTCCACCTCCTCGAGGCGGCCCGCCGTCGGTCCCTCGCCGCTAAATCTCGCGCTGCGGCGGCCGTCCTCCCTGTCCCCCTTCCCGCACTCGGACCTGATCGCTGCTGCCAAGAAATCGGCGGCGGTTAGGGATTTCAGAGGGCCGGCTTGTGGCGGGGTGGAGAGCGACTCAGACTCGTCCTCGGTGGTGGATTGTCCTCGCTCCCCAACATCCGTCTGGCCGACGGACACGATTCGCTTCGATTTGGATCTCAACCTGCCGCCTCCGCCGGAGTTCGCGTGATCGAAAGTGACATGAATCGAAGTCCTCCTTTCGAAACGTCTGTAGATAACCATTCTCTGTAGTTCCCACATGTGACAAGTCAACCTCTCACACACTCCTTCCGTGCTTCGTTGCCTCCACTTGCACACGGTTGCGTCGTCGTCGTCGTCCTTCCTGTCGTCTCCTTGGCCGCCTCCTGCATCCTCTGCGCCGTCCCGACCACCTTCTCTCATCGACTCTGCCTTGTTTGATTGCTTTGCCTTCATCACGGACGACTCCATCGAGTCCTTCGCTTCGTCTGAGGCGACAACGGAACACCTCAAAGTTGGGATGTGTACTAAATCTGACAAGTCACGAGATGCGATCGCAAAGCCCAATAAATAATGCTTATGCTAAGAAGCTATTATTTCATGGTTGGCACAGACATACAATTCTACAGTGTATTGGGGCTTTCTTGCATTAAACTGATGGTGTTGTTCATCCAATTAGATATGAAAAGTCTGATTGGATATGAACTCCGGCCACTTTGTCAACTCCAAAGTCAATTTGAGTTCATACCACTGTCCATTACCTACACTGGTATTGAATCTATAACCCGTTCCTCACTATGGTATCGGATTTGATGGCTCTTTAAAATTAGAATTGATACTAAAATAATTTCGAGGTAATTTTGTATCTACTTCGGAACCTGAGAAATTAATCATCACTCGTTATCACGGGAAATTATTCGTTACGTATGATTTTATCCATAAATCCTAAAGACTATCTTTGAATATAAAAAAAGAGATGTTAGTATTTATAACGTCTTTGTTTCCGTGCTTTTTAATTGATATGAGACTAAATGTGCTTATCTGTATCCTAATAGGGAGTCAAGATTTCACGAGCCCTTATTCTAGTGTCAATATCATCCTTTACTCTTTGTCAAGGATTTAGTTGGTTTTACCTAAGTTGTGTGACACCCTTGCGTGTCCGTTCGCAAATGTCAGCCTCCCCGAAGCCTCTCATGGTCCCTTAGAATCTACAAAAGAGAAAACGAGATAGAGAAAACGTCTCATTCGGGATCCACAATCAAACATTTCCGAAAACACTTCATAGACAATGCAAATTACAAACATACTTTACAAGCTCTGAACAGTTATATAACAAAGGGTCAAAATGATCCATTACAGATCGAAAATCTCTCACAAGTGTCCACATGACACAAACTTTATTTACAAGCCTAAAGCGACCACCAAACTCAACTAAAATAGAACTATTAAGTCTTTGGTCGTCCCTCTACATGTTGTGCAAAGCATGAATATACCAAAAGATACAGACATACATAAGCATTACATTAGAAGTTTGTCTGTGACATCCCAAAAACATATTTTAGATTCATTTCAAAAGGATAAAATCATACACAATTATATAAAATAGATGATTTCGCTCTAACAACAAATGATAAACTTATTAGTTGGTACCAGAAGAAAAGCTCACGAGGTATCAGTATCGATAAGCACATTCAATGTCCTGCACTAGCATCACTATTTACCATCAAAATTATGATAAAATTATATAGATCAATCCAAAATAGATAATTCATCATGATGACATGTGATGATTTATCAAAAAAAATTTATTTTTTAAATCTATTCGAAACCGAATTGGAGCCATAGTCAGTTCAAAATCATCAAACTATTAACTTGATTTAATTTCGATTTTAATCAATTTGATTTTAGCTTGAAGCAAACAACTCCCTTCATCTGGAGTGTCATGGTATTTTGGATGGCTTGAAGGTAGCACACCAAGAACAACTTACCTATTTAGAGTCCTGACTCCCAAATGCTTAGTCAACATGCTTTATAATTTACTTACAAGTAAAAGGAAAACCCAGTTATGAAACTTAGATCTCTCTAGTAGTAATACCAATCTCCTATCCCTTTGATAACTCAGTGTATGTCCCATCAAGTATTGGATTGCACCAAAATCTTAGAATGGATTTGCTAATGCAGTCATCCAAAATTGATAAAGATACTATGATCCAACACTCAGTTACTATCAGAATTTATAGCACAAGCACCTAATGTATGTTAAGGCTCACAACATAACTATATCTTCTTACAACAATATATATCAAAAACAATTAACTGCGACCTTAAGTGTACCAAAATAGTCTTCTTCCATTAATTGCATGATACTGTCAAAGAAAGATAAATGAGAACTATACTGATGATATAAACCAGTGAAAGTCCATTAATTTCATTTCAATGTACTACAGTAAGACACTCCAACTTCTCTGTCTCATAATGTAGTAAATAGATATCAAGTTTCCTATAATGTAGTGAAGAATGAAATCTTATGTCAACTGCACTCTATTTCAGTGCACACAAAAGGTTTCTTCCATTCAACTATAGGGGCCCAAGTAAAGCTATGAAGATTATCACATCAGCAGTTGATCTACACGACTATGATGTTATATATTTTTCTTGTTGTGGCCAGTTATATTTTGCTTAGAATTTTAGCCTGAGAGGTTCTCATTTAGTAGCATTCAGCTGCTTTCTTCTACAGAAAAAGAAGCCATAGTTTTTTGCTTATGAGTTCTGCTGGTAGATCAGAAGTACATCTAACCAGCAGAAATAGAACTCCTTTCGCTGTGCTTCTTTTAAGCTTCGAGGTTGTCCTTTGATCAGGAAATGTTGGAGTTGATACAGTGAAATATGTGGAGTGTTCTCTTTGATGGTATGGCTGATGACCACATCTCTAAGACTGACATGATCACTGGAATTCAACATTATACTTTAAATTCTCTCTCTCTCTCACTCTCTCTGAGTCTGTAGGTGTTCTGATCCTTATTAGGGATTAGACCTTCTTTGTACTTAAAATGCTCTCTCTCACTGTCTGTAGGTGTTGAGGATTAGACCTTTATATAGAGAAGGAAGAAGAAGATGCGATCTTAATATAAGGGATGTAATACATGTCAATATACCGATCGATATTCACCCGATGCAGTATCTTCATGATGAATCACCGATATCAGTATTGTATCAAGATCTAAATCATGAGCATTATTTTCTCCTCAAAACTGCTTTATTTTCCTTCCTTTTCAGAAATCTTTGACATCGCTACTGCCTTCCTCAAACAACCAATGTGGGATGACACTGCAATTTTCTGGATTAGAAATTGGAGGTTAACCTTTCATCTTGTTTTGTAATGGCACGAATCTAACTTCCCTAGTTGCTTTGAAGATATAAAAAACATGGATTCGATCTTTTGAACTAGTAAGTCTTGACTTCCATCACTGTCCACAGTTCTAGTATACATTTGTTAAGGAAAGAAGACGTTGATATCCTCGTATATGGTCCAGACCTATATATACAGGATTGTTCGATATGCTTTCGAGGTAAAAATATTAAGCTTTCGAGGTACCGCCTACACAAAGACTAAGGTCAAGAAAGGTTTTCGACTCCATCCTTCCGATGCCCAAGTTACTAACTCAGGCATATGAGTGCGGACGAGAGTGGATAAAAAAAGTAAGTCCCTTTTTTATTATGTTAAAGACGAACTTTTATACTTGATCATAAAAGGATAAAATATTTCATGAAATATTCTATAGGGAGGTTGCCTTTAGCTACCTCCAACAGTCTCCCCTTGACCTCTTGCCCATGTGGGCAATCGGGGGGTGCACTTGCCTTGGATCATTGTCCACGTTGGCAGATAAGTAGGGGGTGACATTCGTCTTCTCCTTTCACCTTAGACACTATATGATAGTTACATGTCTGATGATGATTAGTTGATGGTGTATTCCTTATCATTTGTTCCCCTCTCACGGCGTGTTTCGGGGCTCTTGCCAAAGGAGTCCGAAGTGTAGTATTTGGTTCAATCGGCACACTGAGCCCATACATCTTCGATCCATTTTCGACTTAGTGGGCATCTTTAGTTCATCCGACATGTCTATTCGAGATCGCCTCACTAGCACTGTTGGTGGCGATCCATTGTCAACCTATCCCTCATATCATCGAGAGATGCACATTGGTTAAACATGGTTGAGTTTTCCGATCTTCACACCTTAGGCAAGGACGAGGGTCAAACTTCCTAATCTTCATGCTTTAGTGGAGGCAAAGTCGGGCTTCCCAACTTCCATGCCTTGAGTGAATGTGAGGATCGAGCTTCTCGGTCGCCATGCGTTAGTAGAGACAGGGGTGAAGCTTCTTGACCTCTATGCCTTGGGAGGAAGAGAGGGTTGGGCTTCTCGATCGTCATGCCTTGGTAGATTTATAATTCACAAAATTATCTCATCAATATAGGTCATAACCAAACATTAAGAGCAACCTTGGCATCCTTCCAACTATTGTTGGCCTGCAAATGCAATTTATGTATGTTTCAATCATCAAGGCAGGAGGAGTAAATGTTTTAACTTCACCAAGCATCATTCATTGCACATCCAGATAAGGTGACAGCAACTGTTGCATGTTCTTGAATGTCCTCTACATAACATAGTCACAACCACTCCAGTGGCTACTTTAATTAATAATACAAGTAAGCAACAATGTTGTTATCTTCTGGTCAGCTACACTGCACATCATACTTATTAAAAATAAGCAGTCACATCAGCATCAGTGACATGTCTCTTGTCTTATCCTTGAAACAGCTCTTCATGTCAAGGAAAAGACATCACCTCACTTTCTCCAGCCCTTCAAGTTTCCACCCTAATAGTTCCAAGTCAGGCAGAGAAAAAATGATGAGCTCAAAGAAGAGGTTGTCCAGTTAAGTCAGTTAACCACCTTCCTCGACAGCCCAAAGGAGACCACAATTATTGAAGGCCTCACCTAAACATGCATAGTTTTCAATGATTAGATCTACGACATACTCGCTTAATCAAGCAAGCAACAATGGACACCGTCACCATCCTCGTTCATAACAGCTGCAACCACTCAGGACCTGCATCAGAAGGCTTTTCTTGATACATTCTTTTTGCTTTGGTGATTACTGATTTGGGTTCAAAGACAAATTGGGACGTCTACGTGTGCTCCAATTTATTTTATTTGGTAGAAATCCAATCCAATGATGGTACTAATCCAAAATATTTATGCTCAGATTAATGATTGCTTACTGCCTCTGATCTTGTAAACCAACTCAACTGTCCTCCCACATATGATACAGGATTAAAAGCATCAGTGAAGCCATGAACACTTTGATCAAAGAATGGAGCAAGGGGGTAAAGGACTGGGCATGAAAGGACCATAGAACAGCAGCATAGGCAGGTGAGTAGGGACTGCATTAATGGTGGGCTAATGATTAAGCAGTAAGCACTTCACGTGAGAACCTCCGTCTTCATTCACCGTGAGAAACTCGGAACTCCAATGTTACATACAAACTTTCTCTTCTGATCAAACTCCCATCTCCATATCTCAGAAACTGTAGCAACTTCAAATTTGTAACCAGGTTTGTCTATATTAGGAAATGGAGCTCAAATCTTAAGATCCACCACATTCGATCGGACCAGAAGAACACTGTTATTCCACTCCTTGTTTATCCACCTTGCATTCCTCCATTTCCGTCCATTTGAGGGTTCGAGCAACACTGTTATTTCACTGTCATCTCAGTTGCCTCAAGGAATAACATTAGGAAGCCCCCATCTCTTATATCTGAAGAAGTTTGCATGTCACTGGGAGTACTTTGCACCGCGATGTGGTAATCTTGTCATCGCCAATTAATTTAGTGCCAACCAACTGATCATGCTTTCCTATCTTTATGTTCATTTTCAGGGCCCCATCAACCAATGCAGCCATTTAAAATGCCGTCACAATAGTTGCTCACCTCCCACACCACCCCAGCTTCCTACCTCTGATCCTTCTCTATATATCGTATGCCTAGCCAAGTCTCCAAAAATGTGTGACCTACAAACTGCTAGTCTCTTTCTCCTCCTCAGCTTTCTCTAGTCTCCTCTAAGACCAGGTCATGGGTGTTGAACAGGAAAAGACTGTCATCTACGATCACAGGATATCGACTGTGGTGCCTGCGACGGTGACCGGCAATGCTGTCCTGCATGAACTCACCAATATGGACCTCATCATGAAGCTGCACTACCTGAGGGCTGTGTACTACTTCAATCAAAGTGAGATCACTGATGGTATCACCATTGCCGACCTAAAAAATCCCATGTTCTTGTGGCTCAACATCTGCTATCCCATGGCTGGACGAATTCGGAGGGCGGAGAGTGGACGTCCACTGATCAAGTGCAATGACTGTGGGCTGAGGATCATCGAAGCTAGGTGTAGAAGGACGCTGGGTGAGTGGCTGGACGTGGAGTCGTCGTCGTCGTCGCGTTGGAGGCTCCTCGTACCAGATAAGGTGCTTGGTCCAGACTTGCAGTTCTCCCCCATGGTTTACATGCAGGTAATCCTCTATCTTTGTATGTTCATTTATGAGCTCATTCGTTTTTGCATGCTTCATATCAACTTCATGCATTGAATAACTGCAGCAGTAAGTTAGAAACTATAAGTAGCTCTTTTCTAGAAGGCAACAACAATAAATTTAACATGGTGGAACAAAAATACATCAAGGTGTGCAAGTCAAGCTGGTGAAGTAGCATGCTTAAAGAAGATAGACAACTTATTTGTTCATCACAAATGCTTCTTAAAGTTTTCACCCCTTTTGTGGCTTCCTTTGTTTCAATTTAACCAAAACTTGCTGCATGCTTAGCTTTCATGAGGAACTTGGTTTGATCTGCTTGTACCTAATCTCATTGAGGATGGATTCAAATTTACTAGATCCATTGTAATTAAATCTTGCATTTTCCCTTTAAAAAATCAGGATTAATTATTGTACCTATGCACATTAAGCTCTGGAGATAGTGGGAAGAATTAATTGTAAGCATAAATACCAACTTTCAGAATTTTGTTTGATCAGAAAAATAGAAAAAGGAACTCAGTCACTCTGAAGAGTTATCAAAAGATCCCACAGAATAGTAACTGTAAAAAATGCAGCAATTAAAGTTGGGTCTGTGTGACATTATAACATTTTCATATTTACAGTTATATTTTATTGCAAATTTATTAAATAAATAAGTTATAGACAATTCTCATATTTATTTATTTTTATGGATATCCTTAAAACTTTGACTATTAGGAAATCAGATGGGTGTCTTACTAAGGGTGAAAGGAAAAAGTAGACTAGATTTTTATAAGTAAATGAAATTAGTAATTAATTTGTAGGCAAATACACCTAAAACCAACCATTCAAGGGTGTGTTATGGAATAAAAAAGAGCTTCCCATTTTAATCTAGTGCCAGTAAACCTTAAGCTTTTATGACATCATTATATTCTTTGTGTCCAACTCCCAAGGAAGGAAGTCCCAGCACATTATATATTGCAGTCTCACTGACCAAAAGTTCTTAATGATCAGAGACATTAGTGCTCACATAAAAGAATGAGAATTGGTCACAGTAGTTCCCAGTAAGGGCCTGAAAGCATCCCCAAATGCAATAAAATAGATGAGGATACCCTGCGTCACTTTCTCTGGGTTGCTAACCATGCAAAGAACTTATATTGCTGTTGTCTGGCTTCACCAGATGACACTACCACATGGAGGTTTTGTGTACATTGATCAAGTAGGATAAGTTTCCATCAGAATAAGGAGAAAATTATATGGGTGGCATGGCAGTGGTTGTAGTAAAGCTTGTAAGAAGCAGTTGAGAGGAGTCTTCCAGAGGATAAATGAGAAAAGAAAATTAAATCAGCATAAACCATATCTTAGTTGTGGAATAAAAGCAGCTTCAACAGAGTTAGTGATCAGTGATCCTATGGGGTTTCATATACTTCTACTACTAGAAGCTTTTCTTAATATCTCAGAATAACTACACAAAACAAGAAAATCAAACTCGAACTTGGCTTATGTACTACTAAACTTATGATAACCCTCTAAAATTTTAGCTTCATTGCAGGATCACTAAGAGAGTTTAATCTAACTCGAAGCATGATCAAATTCAACAGCATTGGTTTGAACATAACTTCAAAACATTAATGAGAAACAACGCACAGCATCATGCTTATTTTACCTTCTTTGTTAACAGAAGCATCATTCTTAAATAAGCACAAGAGAAAGTTTCATTATATAGTCAAAGGACAAACCTGCATCTAATTGCCACATCAAGTGTCACTCCCTTGGAATTAGCCACTTCAAAGATTAACAACCCACTAGAGCAGACCTTTCGCTTCTGCAAGAAATGTCAATTCAGACTTTCAAGTTAGTCACCAATTTTGGAGGTCAAATAGAACAAGGACAATTAAATTAATGGAATTTATCTTGACATAAACACCTTGTTGGATTAAGCTTCAATTTGGTTCACCTTGAGCACATACGTATCATACATGAATCCAAACTTTGAACCAATTGATCTGAGTTTCTAAATACTTTCCTCTTACAACCTATTAACATTATTACCTGGTTTATTTTCCAAACTGATACTCGGTGAGCAGTTTACTAGATTTAAATGTGGAGGGATGGCCATTGGATACAGCTGGGCTCATGTCCTAGGAGATCCAATGTCAGCCACAAACTGTATCAATCTGTGGGGAGAGTTATTCAGTGGCAATCCACCCCCTAAAACTCTTCAGCTAAACAACCACCAAAAGAAAGCAGAAAGTGCAGCAACACATGTGAAAGTGTCTCCAAAACCAATTCCAGTCAACCAGGTTGAACTAATTGGGGATGGCTGGCTGGCTCCCAACACCCGTAAAATGGCAACAAATTCCTTTAGGATCACAGAAACCAAGCTTAAGAAAATGCAACCAGAGCAACTCAAACAAGTCCCAACTTTTGTAATAATCTCAGCTATGATCTGGAAATGCTTGGCAAAAATTCGAAAGAGCAGAGAATCCAAAATGGCAACTATCTGCAGATACCTCACCTTAGCAAAATGCAGCAAAATACTGAACAATATGCTCAAAACAAGCACAGTCAGGTTAGATTCCTCAGCTGCCAATTTTGGGCTGTTAGAACTAGCAACCTTGATCTGTAAACAGGAAGCGGATGAGTCGAAGTCAGTTGAAGAGTTGGTTGACATAGAAAATGGGAAGCCAGATTTTGTGCTTTATGGGGCAAATCTCACTTTCGTAGACATGGAAGGAATCAACTTATATGGGCTAGAGCTCAAGGGTCAGAAGCCTGTACAAGTGGACTACAGCATTGATGGAGTTGGTGATGAAGGAGCAGTTTTGGTGCTACAGGGTCCTCAGAGAACTAATGAAACCAGCAGCAACCAAGAGAGACTTGTAATGGTTATCTTACCAGAAGATGAGATCCAACAGCTCTGTGAATTGCTTAGCAGTGAATTTGGCATCGCTCAAGATCTGAAGATAAACCATAAACTCTCTGTAACAAACATGTAAACCTGGAAGTGGATGTTTCGAGGATGTCAAGTTGTCTTAATTGCCTAAGTATATCAGATTAATCGTAAGTTGTTGTCTGCTAAATAATGACTATATTATGTAGCAATTTTCCAACAGAATCATGAAGTGCTACATGTGAAGAATATGTCAAAACATTGAAATGGAGCTCAGGCAGAATTAGGTACCAATTTACTTACCATCCCACTAGTTTTGTTTGTAAGAATACCATGCTTCTTATGGCAAGCATGGTTGTTCTGGTTGCTGATGCATACAAATAATTCACTGTAGAGAAACAACAACATTGTAACCTTCCTAAAAAGAAGCTAAAAGTATGTTGGGGAAACAGCTAACAACTTCTGAATCAGGATCATGTACTAGACCGCTGCCGAATCCACTCAGAACATGAATATGCTAATTGCACACTTATATACACAAACCATAAATAAGAATGTCACTAAATGCTCTAAGTACATATTATTGACAATTCATCCAAGCAACAAAATGAGATATATATATATATATATATATATATATATATATATATATATTGTGTGTGTGAAGTAAATTATATCTAGGATTGACTGTTTTCAAGACATTATTAAAGCTTTTTATGTCATGTTCAAAGGCTGAAGGAGAAAACCCCCATAATTGATAGGAGCTGATTTAAAAATTTCTCCTTCGCATTAATTCATTTTCTTTGAGTAAATTCTTCAGATAACTTTTACTCTAATAAAATGTTACAACAAAATTACCTGTTCAATTTTGCAAAACGACAAATAAGCATGCGTATGATGACCCAATTCCGAAGTCCACACGAATATCCACTGTTAGGATGCCCTCATTTCCTGTGAGAGAAGCAATTAACCAGCAAAAAATCACATTTTTGAGCTCTAGAACTCATTCCCGGGAGCTGGCCTCAACAAAATCCAACGTTAGAACGAATTCCAAGAGCTCTGCAGATTAAGAAAACAGGCATACGCACGACCGATAATTCATCGAACAGCTTCTGTGCGCCCCGCCAGCAGAGGCGCCCAGCACCAGCCGAACACAGCCTTGAAGGGAGAAGCAACCAACACACCGATGCACTCACAAACTGAATACAGAAAAGCCAACTCCAACACGTTCCTCTAAGGTCGAGAGACGGGCCTCGCCGACGGAAGAGGCCATCGCGGGCCGAACCCTGGCAGAGAAGAACTGCTCCTCGATCGTCCGGCTGCCAGAGCTAAGGAGGCTGCCGCGGCTGGGAAGAAGTTCCGGCGCGGCGGTGGCGCGGGAAGCTGAGGCAAGGCGGAGGTGACGGAGGGCGGGCGCATAGAACAGGCAGAGGGCGGATAAGGCGGCGTGGCGCTAAGCTCGTCCGGATCGACCGTACTCGTGTTTCTATACGGACGTTGGGTTCATTTATTTCTACTCTCCTATTTATTTGGAGATGCTTACACAATACAAAACTTTAATGAGGATTTCATTATATATATATATATATATATATGTATATATATATATGTATATATATATGTATGTATATATATATATGTATATATATATATATATATACATACATATATATGTATACATATATATATATATATATATATATATATATATATGAATGTATGTATATATGTATATATGTGTGTATATATATATATATATAATACAGGGAATAGACGTTATTTTTAGGTGTGTTCCTTTGTACTTGATTTATGATGTCATGGAAGTTATCTTGAAAGTTAGTATATCAAATCTATTAGTATTTGTAATTATGTATTATATATAAACTTTAAAATATGTCATTTATGAGAGTAATGATATATATATATATATATATATATATATATATATATATATCATCCATTTTATCTTAGACTTTCATAGTAGGAGGACAACAATATATAAATAGGGAATCATTTTTTTTCTAATTTTATGTGAATTTAGTGATATTATATATAAATTTAATATGACTTTTAAAATGAATCTAACAATGTTCGGTATATTGTCTTTTTTTAACATAGTTTTATAAAATCCTTTGAATTAAGACGTAGTTGAGTAATAAACTCGAATGATTTTAAAAGAGGTTTGATTTTCAAATACGATAATATTTGAAAAACAACAGACTAAGTCGACTTCATCGCATCAGATTCATGATTATCTCTGATATTAATAGAACCAAAGTACAAAGCTTTTAACTGCATATACAATGTTTTATCATTTGTGATCTTAATTAGATGAAAGAGACACTTATTCTCAGAAGAAAAGAAAAAGAAAGAGAAGTCCTTCAACAAGCCGTGCCTTTCACTCAAGAAGGATGCAACAGATCACCGACTTCCACTAAAAGGACATGACATTAGATCTTTGAATCGCTTATGAGTTGAGGTGACATAATATTTGAAGTATAATATTTGAAGTGACATAATATTACAAACTTCTTTTTTTGTTGGATGACTCCTTTGTGTGGACTATGCACTTGAATATACTTCATTCCAAAGCTATATTTTCAGTAAGATGTCATGATGCTATAATGGGAGTGGTTAAAGATGAAAAAGACTGTTAATCAAACACCAAAAGCACAAATTGTTTATTCATTGTCAGAGTTAGATTGCAAGAACCATGAGATTGATGACAATGGTGTGGATGAATATATCTCCTCCACTGCTAAGAAGATGAATCAGATATGTCAATTTGGCTCGAGTGTCAGCAAAACATCATCCAACAATGTTTCTATTACATAATATTGGCAGAACAATGCAGATTCTGGTGATGAGTTTACATTGAGATGTAAGGATAAAAGCTTGTCATTTGCTCAAAGAAGATGCCTAACCAAGTCCAACCATGTAAATTTTAACAGTATTACCAGTCTCCTTTTACCAACCTCCCTCATTCTTCATGGTGATTGGTTCTTCAGCAACTCTCCTTACCATCTCCTACCTCACAACACGAAATGATTGCACATTGACATGCAGTAGAAATTAAGCAACCTCTGTCTGTAAACACCTTCAACCAACAGCCTCACACCAACACTCCTCATTCTTAGAGAATTCTTCTCCTTCTCCGGATTCAACTGAGAATCCATGGCGAGGCTCTGGCGATGGCTAACTGTGTCCATGGTCCTGACAGCAGTGGCCTTCAGCTGTGTGTCTGGTCGGTTTGTGGTCGAGAAGAACAGCGTGAGGGTGATCCGGCCAGAGCATATCAGGGGGAGGCACGACGCAGCCATTGCCAACTTCGGCGTGCCGCACTACGGGGGCACCATGGTGGGTGTGGTCAAGTTCCCTGACAAGAACAGGACCACCGCATGCAATGCCTTCAACGGCACCCCTTTCAAGTCCCGATCTAGGCGCCCTGTTATTCTACTTGTCGACCGAGGAGGTGAACATGACAGCAACATTCTCTTCTCTCTCTTCTTTCATTTCTTCCTTCACCATAGATGGCCTTTTACTGCAGAAACAGAATAATTATGCTCATATGATTTGGATCTTTCTCCTCTGGAACCCGTATGCAGGTTTGGTATTACAAGTACCATGATCATGGTTCTTATTTAGTGTGAAATACTTGTTCTTTATTTTCTTTTTCCTCTTTCTTATATTTTTTTTTTCCAATTTCTTGGTTTACTTCTTAGTGTTAATTGAGGGAGATTCAAAGCTTTCTTCCTCTTTTTCCTTTCTAATCTACGCATTGCAATGAAGTACCCCTTTCTGATGGTTTAAGAAGATCTAGATATCTCAGAGATTGATACGAAAAGTTTCTCAAAGTTTCCATCCAGATCTAAAACTTCTAAAGTTTCTCAAAGCTGCCATGATAGAATCTCTTGATAGAATCTATGAAATCCATTTTCATCAACAAATGGAACAGTGAGGGTGGCTTACCTTTCCTTTTCCCTCGGTATAATCTCTGGTTTAGCTGCCATGTGAAAACCACCTTCTACTCTATGCAAAGCTCAAGGAAGACATTCCACCAGTAGAGTCTTAATCCTCTTCCACCTGCTCCAGATTGCTACTTTGCTCTGAAGGCATGGAATGCACAGCAAGCTGGTGCTGCTGGAGTTCTAGTTGCTGACAACACTGATGAGCCTCTGCTTACCATGGACAACCCTGAAGAGAGCCAAGACTTGGAGTACGTCGACAAGATCACCATTCCCTCTGCCTTCATCAACCACGAATTCGGTGAGACCCTCAAGAAGGCCTTGGCAAAGGGGACGACTGACCATGTTATCGTGAAGCTGGACTGGAGAGAATCCATGCCTCACCCGGACGAGAGGGTCGAGTATGAATTCTGGATGAACAGCAATGATGAATGTGGCCCTCGCTGCGACGAGCAGATGAATTTTGTCAAGAACTTCAGGGGCCATGCCCAGCTGCTTGAGAAGGGAGGATTCACTCAGTTCACTCCTCACTACATCACCTGGTACTGCCCAGAGGCCTTCATACTCAGCAAGCAGTGCAGAGCCCAGTGCATCAACAGAGGGAGGTACTGCGCTCCTGATCCCGAGCAGGACTTCAATGAGGGGTATGACGGCAAAGATGTGGTGATCGAGAACCTGAGACAGCTTTGTGTTCATAGAATTGCCAATGAGACAGGCCAGCCATGGGTTTGGTGGGACTTCGTCACTGATTACCATGTCAGGTGTTCGATGAAAGACAAGAAATATAGCACAGACTGTGCTGAAGATGTTGTCAAATCCCTTGGCAAGTCTATGAACTTGATCACAGATTTTGTTCCTTGTTCATCTTGAAGGAATAGAAACCTTTTCTTACATGATTCAGCTTGATGCATCAGGTTTACCTCTGGCCAAGATCACAAAATGCATGGGTGATCCAGAAGCAGATGTTGAGAATGACGTCCTAAAGACAGAGCAAGAACTCCAGGTACGTTAATCTGAAAGATTTCTAAGCATAATTCTTGGCAATGAAGAGTTCCCACATTTCACCAAGTATAATCTTACTGCACATAAACGTTCTGCAACATTCCGCCAAAAGTGAACTGAATGTCCCACTGACCTGTCATTCTTCAACATGGCAGTCAGCTTCAAGCATACACCTTCATTGCTATGTGCTTGTGGATGATTTTTCTTTGTTGTCTGTTGTGATGACAAGATCATTGATAAAAACAAGAATGACAGAGAGCTCAAACCCTTATTTTTTACCTTATTATATCTTCCGACATGACCTGCTTCCCACAATAGTAGCAAACATTTTCTGCTTATGCATTCATTTTAGTAGATAATCAGTATCCCCTTCCTACTGCTTTCTTTACCTATATTTGCCACTCAGATTAAGCACCTGTCCATTGTCTTCAGAGAGAGGCCAGATATTTCTTAGCCAAGATCTGATGTTCTGCCTAAAATTGCTCTAGCAACTAGAGAGATTGTTGGCTAGGCTAATCATCAATAGAAGTTAGAAACTTTAGAAATCTGGTCTTAGGCCTTGAGATATAAACACAGCATCTAGCCTTTGTTGAACACAGGCTTCTAAATTCATGATATATTGCCAGATAGTTTGACAGTTGTGGAGTACATTATTGCAAGGACTCAATCTCATTATCCAGGGAGTCTAACCAATCACCATTGGCTCATAAAAGTAGCATGTAGAAACCCTTCCATGATTTATGAGGTGCTTTTGCATCTTATTCTGAATCTTTTTTTTATCAAACAATAACTCTTGTTTTCTATCTCTTTCAATCACATTCAGTCCACACCACGAATAACCAAAGAGATTGTCCCTTGAGGGAGAATTTTCCAGCTTTGATGCCAAACAATATTCTTTCTTGGTTGTAACTTGAGAAGAAAAGAAAGAAATGGAAAGGAGTTACAACCATTAATAAACAAAAAAGCTGAACAAATAACTAGTGCAGTAAATGCATTTATCCAGTACCAACCATAAGGATAGATCCTAATTATGACAATAATAGACTGGTGTCTTTATCAAGTGCATTACAGAAGAACTTCTAATTATTATCCTTCTCTGCTATGACAAAAGAAAAAAGATTAAAAGAACAAACAATCAGGCCGATTCAATAATGTTACAAGTTAAAATACTATCTATTATTGAGTCAAATTAGAGAGTTTACTGTAGCTTCATGATTCAGATTTCTGGTAGCATAACTGATATACTGATCGATTTTCACATTATAGGTCGGACATGATTCTCGCGGGGATGTAACTATCTTACCCACCTTGGTTATAAACAATGTTCAATATCGAGGTTTGACACCTAGACCCTTGTTTCAAAACCATGGGTTTATCAATGTCATTCTAGAACAAACCTTTGGAGCTAACTAGTTCTTTTAATATTTTGGTTGGTATTAACCAAAAGAATTTAATAACATAACAATCTGTAAAATGAGTGCATTTTTTCCTGTGTAAAGGGAAATTAGAGAGGATTGCTGTGCTGAAGGCAATATGTGCAGGATTTAAAGAATCGACTGAGCCTCCTGTATGCTTGAATGGAGGTTTGCATGACTAACCATTTCCTGGTGAACTATATAGTATATACTAAGCTTATGCTGCATATACTTGCTTGTTTCCTACCAGATATTGAGACAAATGAGTGCCTTCGATCAAATGGTGGTTGTTGGCAAGATCAAAAGTTAAATATCACAGCCTGCAAGGTACATTCTCCTCTTATATATTGGAACTTTAACATTGTGGGAGTTTGAAGAGAGTTGCACTGTTATTCACATTATGTTAATTTCACTTCTTTAGGACACTTTTAGAGGCAGACTCTGTGAATGTCCTGCAGTTCATGGTGTTCAATATCAAGGTGATGGCTATACATCCTGTCAAGGTAATATTCCTTATTGAATGGTTCTTTGACTATCTTAACAACCATTTTATACTCAAAATTCTACATAGCCTTATTGCTGAAAACGTACTCCCTACCAACACTGTTTTATGGAACTAGTATCATTTCATCTGACTGACTAAAGCCCTCCAAAATTGTGACATATTTTCTTTGTATTGAGATTCAGCTGTGGGACCAGGAAGATGTGCAATGGACAATGGAGGTTGCTGGTCTGAGACTAGAGATGGACAAACATTTTCAGCTTGCTCAGTAAAATTTTATATACTTGTTGAATTGTCCTATCATGCAAAATTTCCACTTTTATTGGACATAAGGATAACACAACTATTTGCCTTGAAGGGCTCTTTGTTGACTGGTTGTCGCTGTCCTAATGGATTCCATGGTGATGGTTATACGTGTGAAGGTATTTAAATTTTCTATAATTTCCTATGTTCTTTAAGTTCTAAGGATGCTCAATGGCTTCTCCGTTTGTTTTAGATACTGATGAATGCAAGGAGAAGCTTGCCTGTAACTGCCCTGAGTGCTCTTGTAAGAATAAATGGGGTGGATATGACTGCAAGTGCAAGGGCAACCTGTTGTACATTAAAGGGGAGGACACATGCATAGGTAAGAAAAAGAGAATGACATACTAATTGCTGTAGAACAATATGATACCCACATTGTACAAGGTAGCATGCAAGATGTATATGATACAGCATCCATGCAGTAAAACACAGTTAATTTCTTAAAATTAGCTACATATGCCTTTTTGTAGTTTAGATTGGTGTTTTCTTTTTGTGTCAAAGTAGTTCTATTATGCAAAATGATTACCTAGAATTTAGTGTCTATATTACAATTTGATTGATCATAAAATCTTGCATTAGATGCTTGTCATATAGTACTGAAATACCTGAACCTTCACCAAATGAGAATTCACCAGAAGTATAATATTTGCCTTAGCTTTCAGCAGATATTAAATGCAACATCAGATCAAAATTAAAACAGAGAATACTGTGCATTTAGAGTTCTGAGACCATTTTCTGTTTATATATTTGCATATGCAATCAGATCCAGGTATTGTATGGTCATTGAATTTGATGCAGAAATGAAGTTTATCACAGGCTGCTTTTAAGTATAGTATCATGTGTCTTGGTAGTTTTCTTCTGTTTTAGGGTAAGGTAATTCCTGTTTAGATTTATCATTTTTCTGTTGTAATGCAGCTAAAAATATGTCAAGATCGAGATGGATACTGATGCTCTTAGTTCTATCATGTGTGGCTGGTGCTATAGCAGGATATATATTCTACAAATACAGGCTCAGAGTATGTTAAGTCCAACTCAATCAAAAAACTAGTCAGGCTAAATGAGCATCTTCGTTATTAGTCAGTGAGATCCATGACATATCAATGCTTCACTTTTGCAGTCTTACATGGACTCCGAGGTCATGGCTATCATGTCGCAATACATGCCACTAGATAACAATGACCACCGCAATGAGATCCAACAGTTACGACAAGATTCAACAGCCTAATGAGGTATTTCTTTATTAGTTTATTGGTTCTTCCAGTTCTATATTTTGAACTTTTTCCTGACAAGCCACATTTCTTTTGGCAGGAGGGATTTAGATGTAAATTCACAATATTGACAACCGAGAATCCATGAAAAGAAATTATATTGTGACCACAAATTTTTTAGATAGCTGTAAGAGTGGGTCACCAATTTGGCATATATTAATCAATTTTGTTGTAAAATGAATACTGGAAAATAAGCATCCATTACTAGCCAGCGGCCAACAATTCCAGATTGCATGATTAGACCAAAATGTTTCTGCAATTATGCTTTCTGATCTCTTTCAATCCATAATAAAAAATTACATGGTAAGAGCAGAACATACCACCACTTTTTTCATTGGTAATGTATAATATTCCTTAAAGAGAAAACAAAGGAGGTGTCATATTGTTTTGATCAAAAAGTCCAACCTTAATCTCTTCATGTTAGTTTATGCTAACTTACCATCTGCCTTTTTGAATGAACCATTCTATTCCAGTTAGTCTGTGGTAGCTTGTTTATCCTTATATGCTAACTTACAATCTGCCATTACAAATAAACCATTTCATTCTAATTAGTCCATGCTACCTTCTTTATCTTCAAGTTTTAATGACATTTTGACAATCTTAATCACATACAAGGCGAAAAAGCAACAACCCTGAAGCCTTTCCAGTTTCAATATAAAGTTGGGGCTGAGTATGAAGGAATAAAAAGAGCCATAATCCCTCCTCCGGGAAATTGAGCTAACTTTTACAACTATTTGTCAAACTTAGATCAACCCCTATACAAGTGCAACCGGCATCTGATTCTTGCACTAGCAGGCAAATAACTCGACGAAGCTAGCTAGCTACATAAAACTAAAGCTTAGGTCCTCTAAGGATCAGTTGATTGATAGAAGTAGTGCAGTCACAAAGACTTGTCAGTGAAAAGATCAACACAATTGAAAACGAAATCTTAAGTCCCGACAAATTTGGGCAGTTTACATGGATCGATTTCAGCCTATTAGTTATTTCACTAATGCAAGAAGGTCAGCAGCATACTAACAGGAACACAAAATGTAAATAGTAAGAAAATAAAGCAATAGCTCACCTCCCCCTTCTTCTTGGCTGTGTGTTCCTCATGGCACCAAGAAAGGCTGAACCTTCTTGAGTGCTTCAAGAAGGGCCAAAGCTTCTAATCCGTATCAGGATCAGCAGAATCTATCAAGCATCTTCCTCGTATCAACATGCATAAACAAAAAAAAAAAGCACTTAGGATCAAGCAAGGTAGCAGAGAAAGACAATTTGTGCTGTCCAACCGAGCAGCCTCATCAAGAACACACCATATTTGTAGAGCGTCTAAATACGCTTCGCAAAGCTCGTCTTTTTGGAACGCTTCAGCCATCTGCTTCATCTTCTCCTCTCCAATACACTTCTTCATCCTCTCTCAGCTTCCTCTGCTCCTCTTCCATGCATCATTGCCTTCCATCCTCTGACCGCCTCCTCGCGTCCCACCCTAGGCTGGCTCGCCGTCTGTCCATATGTTCACGGGCCCGTTCTTGGGGGGTTATCCTCGCGTGCGCTGCCGTCAGTTTTGCGGGTGGATTTGCCCCTTTCGGAGCCAGAGAGGCAAGGCGACAAAACTCACATTAACCGGAGCAGCGGAGACGACCTCCCGCTTAAAAGACAAGGCCTTTTCGACGCGAACTGTAGCGGTGGCGGGTTTTAGGGTGTCCGCAACCCACCCAGCATGGCAATAATGCTGGCAACGAAGGATGACATCTCAAGGACTGCCAGTGCTCAGCGGTAGCATTGCTCTTGCTGGAAGACGTGTGTTTCTGCATTATCATCACATGAGACCAAGAAATTCTACCGAGTTGTTCTGTAGGCTATTAACCAATTCAATGCTCTGTTCTTGTCGAGAACAGCATCAGCCTCAATTATTTCCATCACCAGATCTCAACCGCACTCAGAAATCAATCCAGAAACCGTTGTAGTTACATATATGATCACTCACCATGCCAAGGATTGTTGTGGGATGCTTGAGAAAGTATCCATATTGGCCAGCTTAACATACCAAATGATCTGCAATGGCTAGAGAAAGAGAAAGAGGGTTACAAAAGGTTTTCACCTTGATCATCTCAAAGGAAACACCATGGATCGAGGATCACTTGAATTACAAAGGGTGATCGAGGATTACTTGAATTACCCCATAAATGACTCGTATTTGTTCCAGTGAATCGCATCATTTGAGCGTTCGACGAAATCGTTCCAGTGAATCACATCATGTGAGTGTTCTAAGAAATTACTTCGATCCAACGGGTAGACACAAGAAAATGAAAAGGAAAAGATTTTTTTTTTCTTTCACTGGGTTCTAGTTTTGTTGCATGGCTGCAGTGTTTTCTTCCTTGGTGAGCCATTCCTGAGCAGCAACAAGATCAGGAAGCACAATGGCACCGGACTTTCTCCAGGTCTCAGCATCCGATGTCTTAAATCTATCCAAGAGCAAAGCATGCATACCGACACTCCTGGCTGGAAGGTAGTCTTTGCGCATACTGTCCCCGATGTGCAGTGCTTCTGATGGGTTGATATTTCCGGCCTTCTCCAGTGCAATCTGATAGATCCTTGGGTCTGGTTTTTCAACACCCACTATGCCTGAGAATACACCAAAGTCCCATTCTAAACCCTGCAAAATATCACATTGTTAGCAACCGATACCCTAAATCAGAACTTGGTAACATGTTCAGAACTTGCTTGATGCAGAAGATGACACAACACTAGAGGAAAAGAATAAATGAAATTTGAAGAGTTCACTATATAGAATTTTTTGCGAGAACAAGCAAGGAGATAGTAAGTATTATGTTACCCTATTGAGTCCTAAGGCAGGAAGAATGACATCTTGATATCGATACTCTGCGTTGCTGACAATTCCAACAATCAGACCTTTCTGGCGTGCCCATCTGAGGAAGGGTTGAGAGTCAAGAAACACAGAGTAGGGTGCCGAAGATCCAAATGATGAGTATATGCGCTTGAAAACCTTCTCAAATGTCTCATCATCATATTCATAGCCTGCCTGCAGCATAGCATTCAAAGAAGAAGCAAATATAAAGGAATTGGCTACAGTTTTAATATTTTGTGTTGTTTCTAACTTGAAAGAATGTAACATCCAATTTAACAATTGATCGGGACAAATCTACTGAATCTAAACATGTTCATCAGCTAGAGAATGCTAGTAGTCATTGTGATCATCAGTCACTTAGAAAAGCTAGATATTCATGATTACTTCATAACTCAACCCACAAGAAATCTATTGTTTTGGTCATTATATATGATTTGTAATATAATCAGTTACTAAAGTCTATTTCTTTATACCTTGAGGTAGAAGTATTAAGCATTGCAAAGCTTGTTAGTACAAGGTGTAAAATTTGGATCTACTTGGATAGTTCATATACTAATCCCTTGATGTTTGATGGGTGGAAATGGCAGCAGAAACCATAAGAAAATCCTGATCAACACCTACAATAAATACAGTACATCGGTTAAGAAAACTTGCTTTGCTGTCTAACTCAGGAAAGTTGCTTACCCTGATGAAGGAATCCTTCACACATGATCTCCACCAGTCAATGTTTGGCATTTTTGCTGCATGTCCAAAACATGGATATTGTTTTGCCATGTCTGTGTATGCAGATTTGAAGCCTTCATGCATGCGTCTGTAATCAGGACAGGGCAGTCCTACTGCTTTAGCTGCCATGCAGTAATAATCCCCAAGTTCTCCTTTGTAAGCTATTAAAGTACCCGTCACATCCACGGTGATACAACGCAACTTTGACAAGATTGACATTGTTAGCAGTATCTAACAATTGCTGTTTCTTCAAGTTGACACCTCACTTCTTTTCATTCATATGTAACTTTAAAACGTCTGTTGTTGTAATTTGACCGACAAGCTATACAACATCTTGAAACAATTTGCTTCTGCATACACAAAGAAGTTTAGTAAAAAAAACAAGTCAACAACTCATATTTCACCATTAGTAGCATTAAGATGCTAATACATATGCAACATTTACCCCTCATTGTTTAAAATAAAGATCACAGATAAGTCACTAGATCAAGGCCCATTACACCATGAGATAAGGGAACGTCTGTCACAGTTCCTAAAACACCATTTGGTGGTTGGCGGTCAATACAAATATGATGGGAAATTAGTTGTTCCTAAAACACTATATTCAAGTACCTCCAGCAAAACAGTCGGAAAAACACAGTCCTTAGAAGAAGATGCAAGATAGCTTTCAAATACCATAAGGTGGATGGTATAAGTATGGTAGTCATTCATGAAAGTAAGGTTCGCAATACCGTACCATACCGGTATTTCGACCTGGGCTCGGTACCGGTATGATACGGTATACCAAGCGGTACACCCAAGTGTGCCGAGTACTGTAGTACTGCTACAGTGCTACAGTGCACTCGGACCGGTAACAAGCGGTTCGCGTACCGACAACCTGTCGAACCGGTACGTACCACCCGTACCGGGCGGTACAGTTCGGTACGGCAGACCCTGCATGAAACCACCAAGAATTATTACTGTCTGAGCTAAAATTCAATGGAGGAACTTCACCAAAGCCTGAAGTACTTGCATAATGGTGATTTACTGCAGCTCATTTTGTTTCCTAATTAGTAAGATTCTACTAGAAGATTTATATCAAAACGACAAAAGGATAAAACCTTGGTGCATAAACTAAACCAGTGAGAAGTAAGAACAGTTCATGGACAGCAGAGTCAATCACATTAAAAGTACAGATATAGATTACGTTAGTTGACTTATGCATCCAATGAGAGTAGCATAAAACTCAGAGAGACTAGCATCAAAAGTAGAAAGTCCAGTTAAATATGCCAAAAGAAGTGGTCAACGCCTATTGTCTAATTGGTCGCCAAAAGCACAAGGGCCTACCTACGTATGCTTGGAATTTGACCAGAAATGACAGTCTATGATGTTTGTGCAGTGTGCTATTATTCCAAAGGAAGAACATATTTATTTGTCGGAAGAGTTTCTGTAATTTTCTTTTGTTTCATTATCGTTAATTCCCAGTCATGTCTGAAGAAGAGGCCAATTTCACATGTGTTATCATTAATATCAGGTTGTAACTTCAAGTGGCAAAACATGTATTGTACCTAAAACTACTTATGCTATTTCACCCCTTACCAACTGAACTCAAAATGAACCCAAGGATTTGCGAAAGAATGGGGAGAGTTAGCATCCTTAAAGTGGTGATACAGAGGATCAAATGAGACATCATAAATCAAGACAAAATCCCAAAGGGTATTTGGAAACTGTATCCAAATTAAACTCTAATGATCAACAATGCTATGCCATAAAACTACTAAAGAATCAAAAAACAATGTTGTACTTCAAGCTTAGACTTGTCCTATTATATTTGAACAAAGAACATCTGATGGAAACATTGACCCCAAAGTCGGCTAGCAGATCCAGAGAGACACACAGAATCACAGAAAGGAATTAATGACGAGACTTCCCCTTTAGGACTCCATTAACAAATATGAGATAATCACATAGGATTTGTAGATTTTGGGATCAAACCAAACTGCGTAAACCATGAATACAGTCATCCGAACTAAATGGGAAAGACAAACACAAACAATGACAATGAAAGTGCATCCTTAAGAACTTTAAATTGAGATATAACTTAATTTACTAGTGGAAAAGGGCCACCGTATTAGGCATCGAACACGATTCCCTTGCCACGATATCAGAATCATATCAGGAACATAATTAGCACAGCGCAGGGCACTATTTGGCCACTTCAACAGGTGTGGGTGGATCACCACAGAAATCAAAAGAAATAACATGCCAAGAAATCATCTTTAATGCCCTTGTTTCACTAGAGCAGAAAATAGCAGATGGATGCATGAAAGTTGCCGAAATCAGATCCAATAGGTGCTAAAAATACTAAAAAAAACCTAAAATCGGAGAAGAAATGATACCTCATAGCAGTGAAATCAAGAACCCAGATAGAACCCCAAAAGCAGCAGCGGCAATCAACTGCAAGATCGGATCTTTAACCCTGCAACGCCACCAAGAACACAATAATCAAAACCCGAAGACATATACTTACTCAGATTCAAGTGGATTAGAAAACAACCCCAGACGCAGCAGCTGGAATCAACTCCAAGATACGACCTTTAACCCTTCATTGCCACCAAAACAGATTAATGAGACCCAAAAGTACCGACTTGTTCAGATTCAAGTGGCATCAATTAAGCACGGAGAAGAAGAAGAAGAACCGACAAAACACGCATACTGAAGCAATCCAAGAAGAAACAAAACGGAAAGAAAGATCACAGGAAATCCAAAAAGCGAGGCAGTGACATGAACAAGGGGTAATTTTCAGTAGGAAGCTACCGCCCACCTCCGGCTCAAGGTTTTGCTGTGAGTAGTTTGGGTCTCCGGAAAACCGAAGTGGTTTTGTTGCGGAATACCAGGGGAGGCAGACGCTGGTTTTGGTCCCTCTCTCGATTCGTCAATCACAGAGAGAAGCAACTTGAACTCTATTCGCCGTAACGAAAACACGGAAAAAGAGGAATCTATAAAGTTTAGCAACCATTTTGTTTTTTTTATGTTTTATAAATAAAGAAAAACCTCATCCCATAAAATTTTAATATATAAAATATTACACTAATAATAATATAGTAAATGAATAAATTCTCCCAAAAAATATTATTTTTATATTTTCTCTATCAATATCTTTTTATTTATTTATTTTTATATAATATATTTTTTTCTAAAAAATAAAATTATCTACGCTCAATTATCTCACCTCCGCATGGTTATTATTGCTTTTGCTCTCGTACTTATTTGTTACTATCGAGGTCTCACTTCGTTTGGTCATCTCCATCGTCAATCTTGACTGAGGGGAAAGAAGTGTGAGATCATTATCACCTTTGCTCTCACCCTCGTTTATCGTTATCGAGGCATCGCTAAGGCCTCGCTCCATCTTATCGTCTTTATCATTGACATTAACTAATGAAAAGAATGTGACTACAACATGATAGTAACGAAGGAGGAGTGAATATTGATTTTTTGATGGAGTAGCTCGGCCATGATCATATTCTAGAGGATTTGTTTGTTGTTGTTATTGTCATTATCACAACCTTCGTTGATCGATCAATCAAAGAGGGAGAACAAGTTGAAGTTGAATGCACCATGGCAATGGTGTCAATGCCTTGTTATCGCTTTGATTGGTTGATCAACGAAGGTTGCAATAGCGACAGCAACAACAACAAACAAATCCTCTAGAATGGGATACTAATAAAATAAAATTTTAAAAAATTATTCATACTAAATTCACTTATTAAATATTTAAAATTTTATCCCATAAATTTAGTAGTATGCCATACCTACTTTCCCAAGTTTCAAAGTTAAAAAGTTCAATAAACTTTTACCCGTAAAGGTAATTAATCTCAATTTAAGTACAACGGACTACAAAAACATGTACACAAAATTGGTGATAAACTTAAATTTAGAAATGTAAATGTGAAAATTATTGATTTCATAAGGATATATATGTGCATTTCTGTCACATAAATTTACATAAAAATAATATATTTTTAAGATTTAGGGTATATTTTTAAGTAAGCTTTAGGGTGGTAGGGGATGGTTGAATTGGACATTAGAAGGATGTTTGGTGCATGTATCGCAATATTTAGTTAGGAGGACAGTGACTTGCAACAACACACATGCATGATGAGAATAGTTAATGCATTATAGAGCTATTAGCATTTTGTATGTGAGATTAAGAGTTAATTATATATTATCTCTTGTAATTAGTTATTTTTAGCATTCTGCTTCTTATATTTTTAAAAATTATATTGGAATCTTGATACTTACGAAAATAAAATATTAAGATCCAAGATAAAATAAAATAAAAAAAATTAATAATTTTGTTAGAGTAATGGATCAAATGTACTTTCGTGTAAGTATAAGGATCACCTCTTTTCTTCTTCTTCTTTAGCCTTGCCGCCTCTCCCTTTCTCTATCGCCTTGACCCCTCGGCTCCCTTCTCGTCATCTCCTCTCTATGTCACTAAGTTTCTCAAATGAATAATGTTTCGAAGCTTCAACCCAAAATTAAAATATTTGATTGTAGTTAAATGCTTCACTGATAAAACAATGAATCTTGTTGAAGTTTGTTCCAATTGATCCCAGGATCAAATCTTAGCTTTTAGCCTGCACCTCAATCATACGTGGTTTTTTATTGTAGTTAAATGCTTCACTGCCACAAGGAATGCATCTCGTAAAGTTTGTTCTATTTTTTGGCTGCCACAAAGGAATGGAGATCTCTGTTTTGCTTATGTTGGATAAAACCCACTATATGTAGGATGTTGTTTTGCTATTGCTTTTGGCATAACAGGGTCATAAGATATCATGGTGGAGGAATATGTATACCAAATTAATTCACTTGGAATGAATCATGATAAAGCTCCTTCACAGACATCCCTGCTAATGGCATTGCTTGGTGTAAGCAATCAGAGAGTATGAACAATAATGATGGCTCCTGTTTGATAACCAGAGATCAAAAAATGGCTCATCACTAGAAATATCTATTGAAGTGGATTTTCCCCATAATTGGAATGCTGAAACCTTGACTTGATTTTGAGAAACAATGTTAGATCATCCAATGGGATATATACATACTCGATGCACTGATACAAGACAGCTTGAACAAACATGTTGCTACTTTCATCCGGTAAACAAACTGATTGAATCTTTCATGAGCTCATGCAATCACCGCTGACATGTTGGTCGAGGAAATGGAGGAGGACGAGACCAGCAGCCCAGACATCATTATCCGACACATATTCATCGGGAGAATGGCTGACACCCCCTCGACAACGAACAAACAGCATACCAACCTGCTTTTTAGAGCAATGGGGATAAGCACAAGCGTGTGATGTGGGTGAAGACCAATTAATTTTTCGATTAGAGCATGAGATAATGACCTTGGTCAGATGAGACATTGCCATTGCATCATGTCCTGCCCCACTCATCAACACAGGCACTTCGTCTTGGATTTTTCTCGACATCTTCTTCACAGTGGAATGAGCCGCTTGTTTGAGCTGCTGACTTAACTCTGAGTCGCAATGCACTGCCTCTGCAGTATGCTGACATGATAAATGTGTCGGTGTATAGTTCGTCAAACATAGAGCAAACAAAAACAGGATTGGATTGAAATCCAGACCTTATGCTCGATGGTACAGTTGACCATTCGATTGTCGCATATTTGATAAACCTGGCGTGAAAATTCTGTTACTATGGCTCCCCTATCGTCATCATCCATTGCCCGTATATCGACAGTAAAGTTTACCTGCACAAGTAGAATTTTCACTTCAAACACAAAGTATCCACAGAAAGGAGGATTACTAATAATTAATGTTGGTGCCCAAACTTTCCTGGCCAGGAATGACATTGCTTGCACCTGGCCAGCTTGATATTTCCCCCACTGTGCAGACTAGCCCTGAGAAGGATTCCTTTTTGTAGGATCCACACTGCTCTTTGTAAGTCAAGGCTCTATCAGGATATTTGCATAGACTCTCAAGGTTTACAATCAGCTCAGCAGCAGCTACCATGGAGTCTTGGCGCATTAACATTGGAACTGTACCAGCATGCCCCTGAGAACCACTTACTTTTACCTGGAAAGTAGTTGCAGATATTATTACTTTGTCGCTTTGAGAAAGATGAATAGAAATTTATGATTACACAAATTTTTTTCTCTCTTTTAGTCTATACAATTATAGACTGATTGCGATAGGTACATATACATGATTTTACGATATGCATATTGTCCTTCATCTGGTTCCATTTCTAGATCATAAACCAGGGTTTGGGCCCAGGACACTTTCAAAGATGAACTTCATATTACAAGCTCACTATTAATTCCAATAAGATAGACCATGATTTTCTCACCCTAATGCACCACTGTCTCTTAGCTTCTTAGACTTATCCCTTAGTAGAACCTACACACAAAAACAATAGTTCAGGTTTTGCTCAAGAAGAATCGACTTACGTCCTCATAAAATTTGCATTATCATTAATAAGAAAGGTTTCAAATTTTGGTTGGACCAGTACATAATGATCCACATTTATTGGTCCGACCAAGTACTGGTACCAAAACGTACACTTAATGATACCAGAAGGTGTCAGTGAGTATACTGTCTCGAATACCAGTACTGTACCAGTCCAATACGTTTCAGAAGTTGATATCGGACTGTTATCTAAAACCTTATATTTATATTTAGTATAAACTATTGATGTGGTTACTATTATGGTACCTCAAGATTCACTTGGAAGATAAATTTGACTTCATGTTTAAATTAACTTCTTAAAAAAGCTCTTGCACTTCCTTGTCACAATCAGGAGCAGCTTACTTCAGAAGATTATGTTAGTTGTGCTGTAGTTCATTGATGAGAAAAAAGATATGTAATACAGACCTTCAACCGTGTCTGTCCAGCAATTCCTTTGACGATGCCAAGAGGAGAACCAAGCGATTCCAGTACAGGACCTTGCTCAATATGCACCTGTCATTGAATTTAACATACAATTAATATTTTTAACTAGTACAAGCCTCAAACATGCACACAACAACTCTTATCAGAAATCACAATTAAAAAAAACTTGAGCAGCCAGGTTGTACCTCAATATAACCCCACACTGATTCTGGGTCGTACTTGACCTGCAGAAGACTTGCATCACTGCCCTCAAAAGAATTTTCTTTCAGAACATCTTGTATTGTGGCACCACTGGACAAGTTTCATGCATCAGATAATGAGCAAAAGAAGATATTAGATAAAGAGCAGTATCAATTAGTGACAATTACTTCTTATCAGATGTTCTCAATGCTGATGCAGGTAGTTGACCAGCAATAGCAGCACTGCCTAGAAAGGTCGATTGGAACCTGACACCCTCCTCATCACTAAATGCAATAACCTGAAATTTATAACCAAAGTGAAAGTGATGAATATAGTCTAATTTAGATTTCATATCCATCAAGCCAGAACTTTAAAGTGTTAAAAGTTGCCTTTGTTTCATGCTAACAGTGTAAGAAAAAAAAAAAAGAATACTAAAATGATAAAGACCAAGAACAACAACATTTGGTAGTTGTATTCAACAATTTGATTAAATGGACTTGAATTATGTGACAGTGACCAACAACACTAAGAAAGAAAACTCCACTGACCTCAACCGGCCTGCTAAGTTTATGCAACTTCCCATTTGTCTTCAAGACCTTCAAAGCAGAGATAGCGCATATGATGCCCAGTGATCCATCAAACTTTCCAGCATCAACAACAGTGTCCTACTTAGACCACAATACCCATGAATCATGAGGAATTTATCCATGAACTTTTAATATTTATTGATGGTCCAAGATCTTCACAAATAATTACCGCATGAGATCCAATTAACAAAGTCTCAGCAGTTGTGTTAAGTGCCTCACTTCGGCCATGTACATTTCCCATCTGGTCCACCCACCTGAATGTCAATATTATATGAGTAAAATTCTCAGGGAAGAAACACAATATCTAGCAGAATTCAAAAAAAGACAATGAGCATACGTTCTCAACCCCGCATCTCGCATCCACTCAATGATAAGTTGTGCAGCTTTTACAGAGGCTGAACTTAGGAATGTCCTCTCAAGATATCCATCAGCATCAGATATCTGCTCAGAAAGAAACATATTAGCACACATATATGATTTTCTTGAGATAGATCTAACAACAGCTATGATATCCATATCAACCATCACAATCAGCAAACATACTAAAATCAACAACAAGAACAGACATGTAACAATGAAAACAAAGCAGGCTATTCTGATATGACGACATGTTTGAGCAAACAATCATTAATCTTACGAATACTCATGCAAATGTAACAATTTAATTATCGATACAAAGACTCGTGCAGTATCAACAAAATCATTTAAATCTTACAAATGTCATATAGGTAAAAACAAAGAAGAACACAAACATTTATACACATCAATCTTCCAATACGACTATCAATCTTCTCCGGCATTCATCGATCAAGTGCCTAGTGAAAAAATAATCTTTACGATCTTAAAATCTGGAAATGAATTCATTTATGTATATCTTCAACTAACAAACAACAAAGAAAAAAAAAAAGCAAAAAAAGAGCAACTATGCCCCCCCCCCAACCTTCGCGAGCTGATTGATCCTTTCCACCGCTTCATCCCTCAAAATCCCTGCAAACAACTGATTTCTTCCATCGTCGACGCTCTCCGCCTCCAAACCTTCTAATATCCCGAATAAATAGCAGAAAATGGGTCAAAATCGCCGGAAAAAACCAATAATAGATAACATCGAACGACGATTCGATTACCGGCGACGAGAAGAAGTATCAGCGCAATCGAGAGCGAGGGAACCGATGCATTTTTGGCAGGAACAGAGTAAAAAAGCGAGCTTTTTCCGGAAACGACGGCCATTAGGGTCACGTCGCTCCACTCCACAAGCACCGGCTCGCAATCGCTTCGCGTCCGTGACAGCGGACGGTGGGAGGTGATGAGGAACATGCACCAAGCGGTTCGATGTCCTGTGCTCCTTCAGATCATCTATAAATTCGCAAACCTCGGTGAATCGCAACCGTCCAATACGTCTCACACGCGATCTTCTCTGTCAATTTACGCCCATTATATTGCTCCTGCGGCACAAAATATCGCTTCCGTGATGCACAACATCTCTACTTGATACTTCCCTGCAATGTTGCGCGTAAAAAGAAGTATGCAAATGGAAGCATCACCGTTAGATCCGATACCCAGTAGATCCACAGCGTAGGATGTGGGGCCACCCACAGCGGGCGCGTGCCGGAATCTTGCGGATGCGGAAGACATTTCACGGACCCGCAAGTGGCACCCATAAATGCACCCACGTCAGCTAGCGAGCAGCGGTGCGCTGAGGTCAGCAGTTGCGCATCGTTTCGACGATGACAGGGTTGGGTGGTTCTCGTGGGTACGGCACTTGGTGGTGGGATATGAGTTGGACTTGGGTCAAAGGCGGCAAGATTCACGGATAGATCCTGTCAACACCGTAATCTATCTTTTCTCTATCCTGTTTTCTCATATTCGAGCCATAAAAAGAGATATAGATCTTAAATTCGGTGCGATCAAACTTGTGGCAGGTAATTAGTACCCAAGTAGTGGAAATATTACGTAGGATAGCACGATGGAGGTGAGATGAATGTGCATGGAATCGTATGCAGAGGAGACAATGGATATTACATAGACAGAAGTAGATAGTTATAGGGACAAGAAGAGGACGTGTTTCTGTCGCTAATGCTGTGTAAAGCACAGAGAGGCAGACTGCTACTAAGAATATATAATTAATGGTGACAGGGGAAGCAATTAATCGTGGTCTCTAATTTAATGGATTTCATGACTGTTGATGCAAACAGCTGTTGGTCACACATACATAATTAAAGAGGGTCATGAGAACCTCAAGACATGGCAAACACGAGCAAGAAGCTGCTGGTGTTAGGTATGTCCTTGGGAGTGCTTGTGAAGGAAGGATCAATCTCTTGGTGAGTTCTCAAGAGATTTGACCAGACTGTTGAGGTTACGTAAGATAAAGAAGAAGCTCATTTGTTTGTTGTAGACTTATCATATTAGATCATGACTACACTCTTCTCTCTCTTCGTTAATATCATCACCAAGAGAACTCAGTGAAGCTAATTACGTACAGACAGGAAGAACTTGTTCTTTGTCCACAGCTATGTCACAGTGACTTCTCGCAAGCCTCACCCAAATTGCCATAGCCGGCCCATGGAGTGACTGTGTTGGTTTCATGTCAGTTCCCCATATAGATTGAACATCTCCTGACTCAACTTTCTTTTATGAGGTACAAATTATTTCACTTTTCGGATAAATTGATCTTGAAACATATTGAGATTTTGTTTTCTTCGTCATGAAGAGAGAATTCCGGTGTCGAAGAAGTCTTTTCTCTGCAAGATCCTTTCTTTCTTAAATGCTTATACCACACATTTCATGTTTCCCACCAAGGAGGCATCCACAGCAGAGCATCATGTGTTAGCAGTACTGAACTATCATCTTCTAGTTTTTGGAAAGGCATCCTCTTTGGGAGTGTAATCAATCGATGGGAAGACATGAGTGAGGGATTGTCAACTCAGAAGCTCTCGATTAATCTGGGATGTCCCCAGCTCCATCTCTGGATCCAGTGGGCCTCTTCAAAGCTGAGAAGATGATGGATTTGAACTTGTTCTTGGGATGTCAAGAACTGAAGTACATCTTTTTACCTTGGAACATTAGATACTCTTGCAAGCTACTGCAGAAGATGCAATTTTCTGTTCTGCGGAAACTGTGAGGAAACAGAAGTTGTATTATTTCCTGCCAGAAACTGTGTCTCTCTGATGCACCGATTCTGCTGAAAGCAACAAGAGTTGCTGTGGCTCCAGTCACAACATTTCATTGTGTACAGTCTTATCTGATCCAAGTTGAATTCAATCTATAACCTTGTCCATGAACCTGCAGTGTGTAATAGCATTTTGCAGTCGACTTGCAGCATGGGTGATAGTATTTTCCTAGACATGTGTGTATCAGATCAAATAGGGTTTTCCAGTGATTCTTTAGTCTAACTAGACTTGCTCTACAAAATCTTGGCTGCTGTCTAAATGTCTCCAAACAAGAGCTTCATCTCATATTCAGGAAGACAATATACCTGGAGAAACTGCAGCAGGATCACAAGGCCCAAGCAGTATTAGATGATCACCTTGAATCGAACAGAGGATCCTTGTCAACCAAGATGACACTTATCTGCCATCATCCGAGTAGCTAGCTGAACATGAAATGCCGGTGCTCTGTTTACTTTTAAGCATGCATCATCATGCTTATAAAGAGAAGCCTCTTAGGCAACATCACTCATAAGTGGCTTAAAAAGTATGGACATGCATCATGTGTCATCGATGATCATCTTAGAGATGTAATAGTGGTTTCACATGCATGCACAAAGCATAGAGAGTGACAAGGCAATCTACTTTTTACGGTCTGCCATAGGATAAGTTCCTTTGAGAAGAAAACGATGATCATGAAATGTAATAGAGATGTGTCCTTGTGGTGTCATATCTTCTCTCTTTGCGCAGTCACTAGTTGTTCCTAATTCATGAACCGAATCCATGTGGATGTCTGTAAATACCTGAGGACAAGAATAATGATGATAATCCAATTTGTTTATGGATCCATCTATCAGAAAAAGAAAACCCTGAAAGCAGCAGATAAATTAGCTGCACAAATATGGCAGACATGGAAGTCTGGTTTCATTTCTGAAGCACTTGTAAGAAGTGGAACGAGTTAGCTTCTGTGGGTAAAGGTTTCCTGGCCCAAAGATCACTGATACCTCCATTTGTGTCACGAGAATGATTGGTAGGTGAGGAGAAAGCTAACCATGTGAAACATTTCAGAGATTCTGGTCCTTGTGCTTCATCATTAAACTGGCATCAAAACTTGGTGTTGCTCTTCTTGTCCTTGGAACCACTTCGCTGGAGCAACACAGGTTGCAGAGAGATCCATGAGCACAAGTGTCGATCGGTTCATGGAGATGAAGCAGAGGGACTCATCCATGGGTGTTTTTGAGTTCATGAGAAGCTTATAAACTGATACTTGGTCATAAATCTCTCCTGTTCATCGTTCTGAAAGTCCAGATTAAAACTCATTTCTGGATCTTTTCCTGAACCTGCTGCTAAAATGAAGAAGAATAATGTGTCACTCAGCAAAGGAAATCTTGACAAGAGATGAACACAACTCCTTTTGATTTGGTGTCTCCATCAGGGAAGCAGTGGCCATGCTTCAAGCTTTTCGAGTCAGGTGACGCTGATCAACAATGACCAAAAGGAAGCCTCATCACATGCAGACGGGCCCATGTTATTAGTTAGAGCTTCCATCTTTTACAGGTTTTGCCAGTGCAGTACACTTCCTTCAAGTGGAATTCGACATGCTTTTGCCATGGCTGCCTAACAAAGCCCAAAAAAACCCTCCTTTATTTTGGTCTCTCAGATTCTTGCTAGCTTGCATGATTGTGAGTTGAACAAAAGAGCCCAATTCATACTGTTACCCACAAGGCCATGGAAGAATGCTGATGTACCTATGCAGATTGCTGAGGAAAGGGTTGAACGAAGATGACATGTTTCGTGATCCCATCATCTTCATCCTTTTCTCGGTTAAAGAAAAATATCAAGATCAAAATGCACTCAGATGCAATGGAATAGAACAGCAAGATTGAATCGAGACCAAATAATTAAAGAAGCCAGACACAGGAAGCAGGAGAGGGAGAGGGAGAGAGAGAGAGGTAAAAAAAGGAACAAGGCAAAACAGTGAAAGGAAACAGAATCTCTTTTTCTCCTGCTTTCTCTATAATTTCTCAGCACCACAGCTTAACATTTCATGGGGAGGGCAAAAACCAGGCAGGAGAGCACAGGAAAAGTACAAAGATGTAGTAGTGGTGGGTTCCTGTCTCTCCTCCATCAACACCAACACCAAATCCACCAACCCCTGCAAATTTACACTCACATAAAAAACACCAATGATTCTATGTAATCTCCAACCCATTCCTTATCAATCCTTGGCACGAGGACAAATTATTTTCTGTCACCTCTCTTAAATCACACATTCTCACTCACACACACACTTTTCTCTCTTCTCCTTGTTTCTCTTTCTTTGTCACCATCTTTTTCCTGTGTCTATCGCTAGTCCTGTTCCTGCCAGCCTCCTATAAATAGGCGCAGGAGGTTCGTTAAACCCTCCCAGCTTCGCCTTTTCTTCTCCAATCCTTTTAAGCTCAAGAACATACCCTTACTATTGTTCCTCTATAAAGTTTGGACAGGCAGTGGGAGAGATAGGGAAGAAGAGTAAGAAAGAGAGGGTGTGTTAGCTTCGAGGAGTCATAGAGAAGAGAAAGAGAGTGTGTGTGTGAGAGAGAGAGAGAGCATGGGAAGAGGGGAATATGGAGGGGGGAATGGGGTGGCAGCCGAAGCAGGAGCAGCAGCAACAGCAGCAGCAGCAGCAATGCCGGGGTGGCTGGGGGGGCTGGTGGAGGAGAGCTTCTTCGTGGGCTGCGGGGCCCATGAGAGCCGGAAGAAGAACGAGAAGAACATCTTCTGCCTCGACTGCTGCACCAGCATCTGCCCCCACTGCGCACCCGCCCACTCCTCCCACCCTCTCCTCCAGGTCTGTTCCTCTTCCCTTTTCCTTCCCTCCTCCTCCATGTCTTCTCTGCCTGAGCTCACAAATCATCTTCCTTCTTTCCTCTGTTCTACCCACAAAGTGCCAGTTTCAGTAGCATTAGCTTGTCGCTCAGGACATTACTTCTCTTCTTTTCTCCTCCTAGTTCTTGATTTGGCTTCTTGAACTCAATCATGTTTCCCCTGCGTTCTTAAATTACACAAGCACGCATCTTTTTGACTACTCATTCTAAGAATTCATCCAAGAATTCTCTGAAGACTGCAAGTTTCTGTCAGTTCTTTTGGTTGTCATGGTGGTGGTCTTCTTTAGGTCCATCCTTGCTCTCTGTTTTACCGAGACTCCCTAGTATTATTGCCTTTTTACTTTGTCTTAAATGCTCTACTTTCAGAAGGAAGGACAAAGTGTTACCATCTTGGTTTCTTTTCTTTTAGAACATGATATCCTAGCAGTAATAATTGTTGCAGCAATGATGCTAGTGGGGATACCTGAAACACACTTATATGCCTCTCTCTTTTTCTGTTTACAACACAGCCTGCAACCATGAACATTTGAAAGTGGTAGATATGGCTTTCCTGCAGTTAATTTTCTACTGTTGGTGAGAGTTTTGAGTGGTACTATATTAATTTGCACAGCAAAATGTTCTGTAGATTTACAAACCTGGCTTAAGGATTTTTGCTCTTCTTCTAATGCTCTTTTCCCTTCAAAAAGTTTTATCTTTCCATTTAATATCAGGTCTCTTCCAGATTCATTTTATTACTTTAATTTTTTTTCTTGTGCAGTCTTCTTTGTCTTAATAATTTTGATGCCTTTGATCTCAGCATCCCATACTTCTTCTCACAATACTTTTATCAGTCTTTTTGTGTCAAATTAATCTTTTTTCACACTGGAATTTTCCCCCCTTGTCATTATCTTTTGTATTTACCTTTACTGAAGTAATAAAATTGGCTGCTTTGCTTTTCTTCATTTATACTTCCCTCTTGGTAATTCCCAAAAATCTACCACAAGGTGTCAACTTTTCACCTTAATTCTTATTATTTTGAGGATCTCAATTCGTAAAAATAAATTTTTACCATGGATAGTAACATCCTGAGATCAAATCCAATCTTATATATATATATAAATGGAGAAAAGTAATACATTTATGTAGAAAATTGGCTCTATTGATCTTTCCTTCTCGGTGAAGAAAGCTTCAAAAAGTTCACATTGTGGCGAAACTCAAGATGTACTATTTTGCCTTAAGACTCTGGGCGACTGATGGTTGGTGAATAAGTACCCAATGGCTCGTACTTTAATGAACTCAATTAGTGGTTAATCTTGAAGCTTTACAGGATTCTCCATTACCAACACCATCACAATCGCTGATGAATGCACGAAAATTTCAGGTGAGGCGTTACGTCTACAACGATGTGGTTCGATTGGATGATCTCGAGAAGCTGATAGACTGCTCTTATGTTCAGGTGCTGTGACTTCATTTCCATGTAAGAGATGAAGGATTATGGGTGACATGTGTTGTTTCTTCTTAGATGTTTGTTGTTCTTGACAGCCTTACACCATCAACAGTGCCAAAGTGGTGTTTCTGAAGCCAAGGCCTCAATCCAGGCCTTTCAAGGGCTCGGGAAACATTTGCTTGACCTGTGACAGGATCCTCCAAGAGCCCTTCCACTTCTGCTCCCTCTCCTGCAAGGTAATCGTCTACCATGATCATGTCTTGTCCGGAAGCTTCAATGTTCATGGCTGGTATCCATCACCAAGATGGGCATGTTTCGGGGTTGCAGGTGGATCATGTTCTGCTGCAAGGGGCGGACCTGTCGAGCATACTGTTCAGGTTCAACGACTCGGACCTCGCCTTCTCCCACTTCGAGAACCTCCGGGTTGACAGCTCCGATCTCCTCATCGAGGACGACGGCCAAGTCACCCCGAGCTCGACCCTGGAGGAGCGCCACGGCTGCTCGGCCTCGGCCAACGGCGGCAGGGGCAGTCTGGGGAAGAAGAAGAAGACCGGTGGCTTCTTCCCTCAGATCGTCCTCTCCTTGAGCAACAGGAGGAAGGGAGCTCCTCACAGATCTCCCCTCTCCTAATGTAGATGGCTGTGGCTGTGGTGCACGAAATGCCCCTATCCATGTGGGGGGGGGGGGGGGTGGGGTGCATTCCGGGGCAGGGTTGCGTTGGTCTATGGATTGGAGGAGAGTCACTGAGCATTCCCGTTACTGACTTAGGTGGGCACAGTGGATGATGTTTCAGGCTCACAGTGCTTGCCAATTTTGTTGTGATGTAATGGAATGCATACTTCTATATCCTACCTTTATATATTTATATATATATATATATCACGCTTTGTACTTGGTCTCTTTCTATACTATTTGTCTCTGTCTTTGACCCACACTGCCTCCTCCAGCCATGCTCAGTCGAAGCCATTAATGGGTTACACACATAAGAGGAAATATTATACGAGTTGGGTGGGTTGATGTGAAGGAACTCCTTGTGGGGATGGGGATAGGAGGTCTGAGACTTCTGTTCTCCACTGTGGGCTTCTGCAGCAGCAGCTGCTGCTGCTGCTTTCCCATATCACCTGGATGGATGCCATCTCCCTGACTGTGGCCAGCTTTTCCTGGCGGTGGTGCTTTGCATCTCGGTATGATCCCAAGAAGGCTGTGATAAATGGTGCATCGGGCATTGTTCTCCATGCCACCGTTTTTAATGATCTCTTGGAACCAACTGAAACACAGTCCTGTATCTCTGAATCAAGGATGATGTTATGTGGCTGAGAATCCTGTGGTTGGTGGAACAGGATTGGATCAAGGAAGAAGATGCAGAGACCCAAAAGTTTGACCTGGAACTTGTTCACCGATCCACCTTGGAGGGCTGCCAAATGACCATGATTGGCTGCTCGTCTCAGGATTCACATGGCCTGCCACCATCTTCTTCATCATCATTCTTGAAGATCCTGCACTGTGTATGTGACAGAATGAAAATTTTCTCTATCATTCTCCCCATCATCAAAATCACAAACATATTAAAAGAGAAATCCAATGTAGTCACAGGATATGAACAAAAAAAATCCTCTTCTGCCAAGTTAGCATAAAGAAATCCACTAGACTGCCAAAGATATGTAGTCAAATTTTGTAGCGCTTACTCGCATCACGTGAAGGTCTATTACTATACCCACACAGATGCATGATAGATGTGGAGAGAGAGAGAGAGAGAGAAGAGCAATGAATTCACCGAGAAGAGCGCCGTTGGGAGGGAGGGAGGCGTTGCGTTGGCTTGTTTTGGGCGAGTCGCTTAACACTTTTTTGTTGGGGCATTGCCCGATTGACCGCAACACAACAACGACGTTCTCAGTTCCCAAACCCTAAGCAGCATTTGAAACTGCGCCCTGTCGGAGCACATCTCCACAAACCGCGACAAGGCTCCATTGCTCAACTATTACCTAAACAAAGCCTCCCACCTCACTCTCATCACACTTTGGTCTCAGCATTCCCATATAAATATCACCGGACCTCTCCATCCGATCACCTGTTTGTGTCACTGTATTCGTCCATCTTCCTATCCTACATGAAGCCTCTTGTGACAAGGAATATCTCGGATTATTAAGTTGCAGAGAGCTCATGCACTGAAAGCAGCACAAGGAATATATAAATATTTATATATCTAAGCCTGAGCTCATCTTGTCTTTCCCCTTACCCTAAGATGATGAAGTGTGTGCACTCGATGGACTAACATTTTATCTCTTTGTTATCTTTTTTATCCATATCAGATTCCTTCCACAAGAACAAAGAAAACCAATTGATATTGGCGATTGTTCAACATGATGTGGATCATTTTCATAGCAAAGAGTGTAGGAAGAAAACTTTAGCTGTGAAAGTGACCTCTCATGTGAGATTCTAGGACAAGTGAGAGAGAGATAAAAATGTAGTGGCACAACTGCTCTTTGCTACTGGCTTTTACTCGTTACCTTTTACCCTTCCCTCCCCACTTCTCTCTTCTCAAGAGAATGCATCCGTACCTGTTGTTTAATTGCAGTGAGAAGATAAGATCTGAATTGTGAGATGCAATCATGTGGCATGTCTCTGAAGGGGATGGGATGACTGAGCTTCCTCGAGGCCAAAGCTGGTTAGGGCTTCCCAGATATCTGTGCCTAGTCAAATGTGCCACATGCCATTATAGTATTGGACCACCTCAGTACATGTTCCTCCTTGTCCTCACAAGAGTTTGCGGTGTGTCATTACGATTTCTTCAGCCAGACAAAGAAATCGTCTTCCTTTCTTTTTGGTTTACCATTTTGCTCATACATCCTTAATATCTCTTTGTAGAGATGGTGGTTGTGACCTTTGATTACTGCTCCTAATTTGGATAGACAAGCTGTAATCGTTCAAGACAAATAATGAGGAGACATGTAGAGAGCCACCTTACCAACATTTTGCCTGCCTTTGTTGTGCTTGCAAATGTATCGGTGAAGTCGAATCAAAACTTGGCATATCATTCATTCATTCATTGCCAGTGCAAACTTTACGTGGAAGTCATGTGCTATCCCTCTCGAGAACAAATTTATGATGTCAAGCAACTTGGTCTGAAAAGCTAAAATATCAGAATCCTCAAACTTTCTTGTTTCTTCTTCTTCTTCTGCTTGCTTGTTTCTTTCTCGTTTCATTGTCTTCTTTTCTGTTCCTCACGGAAGAAAAAGCTCCAAATCGAAGCAATTTGATGGTGTGGCAGATCCTGATCATCACCTCTCTTTCCATTTGAATTTTTTCCATGGATATATGTATATATATATATTTCTTACATATTTTTCATGTAAATGTGCACAGATATGTTCAAAACTTACAATACTTGCAGTATGACTGTCATCACCTCCACCACAAATGTTTAACATAACTTGGGTCATCATATTATAAACACTATCATCTTAATCATCACTGTACGATCACCATAAATCATTACATCAACACAATCATCATTACCATTATCTTCATTTTCATCAGTTCCGTCGGCCATCATCTCTATATTTATAGGAGGAGCCTCGTGCGCTGAGTATTCTTTTGTTGAAACTAGTTTGAATTCGTGATCAACCACATGCTCATAGAAAGAACTGCTCATGTCAATTATTAACTGTCACAGGCTTTTGCCACTGTTGGGAGTGAGTTAGGTTCCTTGAACGATGCTAGAATCAGGCAAAAATACTTGGAACAAGTCTCGATTTGACCATCTTCAGAGCTTGGCTAGCTAGTGCAAGGGTCAAAAAAGAAAGAAACCTTGCAGAACTGCACTATTTGCATCCTCCTCCACGTTCAGAGATGTTGCAGGAGCTTTTGCAAACACTGTGGATGGTCCTCCACAGTAAAGAAGTCAGTGAACTCAGATGGCTTTTACTGGGTCCAGGTGTGGAGAGACCACTACCCATTTCTGAAGTCTGACTGGTGTCAAATGAGTATGTGGACGGCGTGGCTTGAATTCCAGCAAATAAGAGAGAGAGAGAGAGAGAGAGAGAGAGAGAGAGAGAGAGAGAGGTTTAGCTGAAATAGGTTAAGCTGTAGGCTTGGAGATCAAAGACTTCGACGTTAAACTGGATTGGATTGTTGTGTTACACAACAAGGGGAAAAGAATGATGAGTTATATGAATGAATGCCTGATTGAGTTGGAACAACTTCACCCATTCATTCCAAGTCAATAAGAAAAGTCGATGTACGATGCTAGAATGATTATTTCATGATAAAAAGGATTGTCATTTGGGGAGGTACTTCAGGATGTGATTGAATCTATACTAGTTTGAATTAGATAATTCTTTTAGACTAATTATGTAATCTTATTGATGCAACTTTCACTTTTAGATGTTACAACACATAAGTAACCACATCAATAAATGTAGCAAAATATTGATCAATTAAACTTTGGTCTTTTCAAATCAAATTTCCAATGATTTTGCTAGTAATTATAATAACTTTCCTGCATTGTGATTTATAAGTAGTAATTCCTACAAATATGCCCAAAACAATTTCATTTGATCAGTTTTGAGTTATGGGGAACTATGTAATCAGTTATGTTGTGCTTACTCCTAAGAAATATATGTCTTGTGATATCAATAGCTTTCATGGCTATATCATAATAGATTGGTGGCTCATAAGATCATATGAGGCTGTCACCTTGGACTATTAAGGATGGCAAGTCTTGTCATGGCATCACTTGGTTCATAAATTAGTATCTTCTGGTGATCAGGCAAAGAGTGGTGGCTCAATCTCTGCATATGCTTCATGTGTCAATCCAAAGGTGGAATTCTGCCCATCATTATTCTCCTTAGTCTTGTCATTCCAATTTATGTTTAGCTCTATTTTGTTGATGAATTGGTGTACAGACTTGGACAATCTTACAACACTCACAACCTGAGAAACTGATCATCCATCTATTTCTTGGTACAAGACTTTGGTACCTCAAAGTTTGATGGGTTTGAATTAAGGCAAGCAAATGTACTACATAAAATTTAGATTTTTTCTGTGTATATTGTGACGAAGGCCATCCGAATCTTTTCAAAATTAGCAAGGACATTAGCCAGCCGACACGATCGTATTATCGATAGTCGAAAGCACTTCATTTGGACTGATGTCTTGAGTACAATTCTTTGTGATTACAGTTTGTAGTGGTCCAATTTTAGAGCTCACAGTGTGACTTTTGTCCAAGGAGGACTCAGACTTGCATAGCTGCAAAAGTTCCACACTATCATTTAACGCAACTGTTGTCATGTTTTTGATGCATGTCGCTTCTCCTCTACATGTTAGGGTTTTGTGTGTGTGTGTGTGTTCACAGAAAGAGAGAGCTGATGGAATTTGATGCTTTTCTAAGAACAAATGGGTCTTAGCCGATGAGAATGTGAAGGCAGACTTCCTTTCCGGGGAACAGCAGATATCCCACATGTTGGAGATCAGACCACACTATGTGATTTGTCTACACCAACTTGAAAAGGCACCATGGTATCGTGTAGCCACTGATCGAGTTGGCTGATGAGAGAGAGAGAGAGGTCACATCTTTGCTTCTCTCATCCAAAGCCTACAATGATTGATGTGTTTGCTCCACCTTCCTTTGAACCTGCAGAATCTCCTCCCCTTCTGACCTGTGTGTCTCATCCATCCCTT